TATGAATAGGTTGGAGGCTAATGGGTTAACAGGGGACATTGGAGGATTCAATTAAGCGACTAACTTGTTCAATTGCTGGTTTCTTTAGATGCGAGTATGGGCCAGGAACTTTCCAATTTACTGCAACTTCGCGCCATCCCAAAACCTGTTGAAATTCGTTTGATGAAGCAATGATAGTTGATGAAACTCTCATGTAAACTCTCGCTTGTCAACTCTCATGCAACTCTTGTTCTCGTTTGATCAAGCAATGATAGTTGATGAAACTCTTATGTAAACTCTCGCTTGTCAACTCTCATGCAACTCTTGCTCAGTCTCGTTTGATCAAGCAATGATAGTTGATGAAACTCTTATGTAAACTCTCGCATTTCAACTCTCATGCAACTCTTGTTCTCGTTTGATCAAGCAATGATAGTTGATGAAACTCTCATGTAAACTCTCGCATTTCAACTCTCATGCAACTCTTGTTCTCGTTTGATCAAGCAATGATAGTTGATGAAACTCTCATGTAAACTCTCGCTTGTCAACTCTCATGCAACTCTTGTTCTCGTTTGATCAAGCAATGATAGTTGATGAAACTCTCATGTAAACTCTCGCTTGTCAACTCTCATGCAACTCTTGTTCTCGTTTGATCAAGCAATGATAGTTGATGAAACTCTCATGTAAACTCTCGCATGTCAACTCTCATGCAACTCTTGTTCTCGTTTGATCAAGCAATGATAGTTGATGAAACTCTCATGTAAACTCTCGCATGTCAACTCTCGTGCAACTCTTGTTCTCGTTTGATCAAGCAATGATAGTTGATGAAACTCTCATGTAAACTTTCGCTTGTCAACTCTCATGCAACTCTTGCCCTCGTTTGAGGAATCTTCACAGAAATCAAGCCTTTACCTTGATCGCACATTCGTCCGCTAGTCTTTCAAAATGTTCCTTACAGACGGAGATCTAAAAAAGTGGATAACTCCATTAGTACAGATTCGCCTACGAATTCGCTGGCGACTGGCGCTTGAAGATCTTGCCTCTGAATGATTATTCCCAATATAGTAAATACCTGCTGATCATCATTTTGAATGAAAAACAATCCAGTGGCATATTCCCCTGGTTCTGGGAGGGTTATGTCCAATCCTTCATCTCTATAAAGTATTTGTGGTCATCGTTATTCAGCTACCAATAAAATGACCACACCCATGGGGTAAATTCTATTTCCAATGCTAAAGTAATTTACCATTATTTTCTCTCTAATCCCTAAGTCTAATCCAATCTCTAATCTAAGCTCAAACGAAATAAATCTCATATAATCATTCTGATTCAACTTTAAATCCCTGCTCCAGCTAAATTCATTTATCCAAACTCTAATTCAATATTTTATTGCTCATTTTCATCACTTCCTAATTAATAACTCTAATCTGATCTGAATCTAATCCCTAATCCGAAACTGATTTAATCCATATGCTAATACTAATCTAATTAATCCAATTGCAAGTTCTGAATCTTATCCAATATTTAATCCAACTCTAAATCCACCTGAAATTAATATTCATAATCCAATCCCCAAGCAAATCCCTAATCTGAATACACAATCTAGTTCATACCCTAATCCTATCCCTAATCCTATCCCTAATCCTATCCCTAATCCTATTGCTAATCTTATCCCTAATTCTATCGCTAATCCTATCCCTAATCCTAGCTTTAATCCTAATTTCCACCTGAGAATCTTGAGATAAAGTTCATGAGGTATCGCTGTCATAATTCCTGTCCCATCACCACTGAACTGGTCGCACCCACAACCACCGCGATGGCTCATGTGATTTAGAATAACCAGGGATTCTTGAATGATCTGTGCCGAAAGAAATACATATCAAAACTAAGCCGAGTGATTTTGAACAACCATGTTGAGTTGTCGGTTATTGACTCGGCAATGCCAGGAGTTATGGGCTGATATCACATGAGATGAGTGAGGAATATATGTCATTTCTAATAAAAACTATTCTTTCAATAGACATGCACTTCGCAAAATTGTTATCGGCAATGAAAACCACCCCATACACAATATATTTCATTGCCCGGGAAGTTCTTTTAAGGAATTAGTGTCGATAACTATATTTATTTTCCAGTTATATATGCCTAGGTGTGTAATGATTTTAAATTGAGTGTTTAGGGTGTATTTGTGTGTGAGGTTATACACCAGGTTTGAATTTTCAGAGAGAGGTTCCCCCCTTCCCATATTTCAGGGCAAGATTATTCGCTTCCCTTATTTCAAGTCAAGATTGCCCCCTTCCCTTATTTCAGGGCATGATTGCCCCCTTCCTCTATTTCAGTGAAAGATTGCCCCCTTCCCTTATTTCAGGGCATGATTGCCCCCGTCCCCTATTTCAGTGAAAGATTGCCCCCTTCCCTTATTTCAGGGCATGATTGCCCCCGTCCCCTATTTCAGTGAAAGATTGCCCCCTTCCCTTATTTCAGGGCATGATTGCCTCCTTCCCCTATTTCAGTGAAAGATTGCCTGCTTCCTTCATTTTAGGGCAAGATTGCCCACTTCCCCTATTTCTGGGCAAGACTGCCCCCTTCTTTTTTTTCACAGAGGGGTTGCCTCCCTCCCTTACTTCAGCAAGAGGTTGCCCACTCCCCTAACTTCAGGGAGAGGTTTCCCCCTTCTCTTATTCAAGGAGAGGTTGCCCCCTTCTCTTATTTCAAGGAGAGCTTACCCCCTTCCCTTCCCCCACCGCTATATACGTAGCAGGTTATCAGATTTTCAAAGAAATAGTTGTCTACCAGCATAATTGCAGGTTTTCTTTATAAAAAATACGTTCGGCTTGAGTAAACTCAATTCAAAATAAAATATTTCGATATTTTCCGAGCGAAGTGTTCTTCGAAATAACGACCACGCAGTTCTTTGAGTGATCTAAATCATTGATATGAAACCATATTAATCTCAAGATCTAAATGCGTCCATTAATGGGCTGTTTTTTAAACGATAAAAGACTAAGATTTTGTTGAAATCTTCTTTATAAAAAAATCCAATTACACGGTCGAACAAAAATGATGTCTTCATAAGATATTTCACGGTGTAAATTTGCTTCCAGACGCAATAAAATAGCTTTATATTTCTTGTTTTATTCAACTACTTAAACGTACAATTTAAGACACGCGGCTTTAATGAGGCGGCGAGCTGTTAATTCATCTTCAAGTTTGTCTAATTTAAATTTGAAAATATCTCGCATTTTTGTACGTATTATTATCAAATTACCTGTAGTAAATTATCCGGACTCTGTAATTTTACTCAATGTAATGATTATATTCGAAAATAAGCCCAAATATCGCCTGAAAACTCTTTAAAAGATTCCATACTTTCACGGCTGAGGAAGCCGCTCATTATTTAGTAATTATAGGTAAGAAAACAACTTGTGCTTCAAAGCCCAAGCTATTAGCATCATATTTGATTTTTGACTGTTTTAAAAGACGCCTTTCAGCTTCTATAAATCCAATATTCCAGCTTAAGTTCGGTGTGTTTAAATTTGCTACTTTTGGCTGGGTTCCACAGATTTTAAGTCCGGATTGATCGAAATTAGAACGCGGATATGTTTAAAAATAAGGGATAATTTCGACCCGTTTTTGAACTAAAATAAAGCAGTTTATATCACTTGAACACCAAATGAAGGCGTCACCTTTGAGCAGCTCTTTGGAGTATAAAAAACGGCGATCAAGCGACACGTCTTCGCTCCAAAATCTAGCACAAGTTTATCAAAGTTTTATGGTAAAGGTTTGCTACATTTTGAACAAATAGAACCGTTTTTATTCCCAATTTGTTTACATTTTCATATATATTTTACTAACGGATAATTTACTACAAAATAAATACAAGAAAAAGCGGCCAAAAGCTTCATCAATACAGCTCAGATTATTAAGCGGCATCCTGCACAATACCTCATTATTCTTTAGGCCATTGATGTTCACTATAAATCCGACTCCACAGGAGGATTTTTCGAATTCTGGTGAGTAAAGGCCGATCGCTTTCGGAAAACCATAGCAGTCTCTCTGAGCAGCCATGATCTCCAACCACAAATGATAAATTCAGCCTTCTTTTACAAGTGTCAACAGGCTTTGTATTCCGTGACCCTGTGAATAGTTCCTTACTCGCCGATCGTAAACAAATCCACGTGCATTTGTTATGGGTGCCAAAGTCCATTCGAATGCGAATGCCCCAACCTGAAGCCAGCCCGAATAACCCGCCGGATGATTTGAAGGTGTCACTGATCTCATTGTGACACTGGATGGATTTAGTTGTAAAGTTGCAAACAAAATGGTTCCCTTCCAATCGACCTTGAATTTCACTTCAAATGTTCATTTCAGCTGGAAAAGCATCTGAAATATTGTCCAAGTAAAAAACGTTAGTCTAGTAAAGAATTGGTCTTATTTGAAGCCTATAAAATTATTTCATACCGTCCTAATCATACAAATCTTTGTAATCCAGCTGACCAGCTCATCTCTAAAATATCCTTATTTAGTATCGTTCCAATTTATACTAGTATATTTCATTCCAACACATATCTTCCATAATGATAGGCTGATAGCTCGAGCTGTTTATTTTGAAATCATTTTAGACATTTTACCGCAAGTAAACACAAAGGTTTATTTAGTAATGGCTTTGATAATATGACAAGAAAAACGCTGAAAGCTAAAAGACAGTTAAGACTTGTATATTTTGGCATTTACATATATTCAAATCATCTTCAATGTGGTAATTTTATAGTCCAAAAGTCACGAATATTATCATAAGCTTTAATCCTAAATCCGATCCTAATTTTCGCCGATCCTTAAGGATTAGATTAAGGATTAACTTAGTGGATTTGGAATATTACCCTAATTATCTTCATACAGGGTTATAACTAAAGTTAATATGTAACTTTTTGAGTTGATAATAATTGTTACAACAGGAATTTCAAAGAAATTTCGCCCTAGGGTTCATTTGGGACGCGCGGTCACGCACGCGCAGTTGAATGTTTTGAAGAGTAGACAAAATCTTATAAAACAGTTTGATCTCTATCATTTAAAAATAGGACATTTTGGTATTATTTCTCTCGAGAAAATCATTATTTTTCCACGTTTTGGAAACGGATTATGTCGATTAAGAGACGCGTTGACACCTCGAAGCTTCGAAGGCCTTTGAAACGGTCGAAAATAACCGAATCCGTCTATGGCAGGTGAGTTTAAAACCCGACCGAGACATATTGCAATATATATTATATATTTTGATTGAAGGCAAATTGAGATAGATCTAGTTTTGATCTCTTGTTATTACTCGCATCTTAAGCGCCGACTAACATGAGTTATTTCTTCTCCTAGTTTGTTCATCTACGTGAAGTTCTTTGTCGTTTGGATTCTGGTTCTAACAGCGGACTTCTTACTGGAGTTTCGCTTTGAATATCTTTGGCCATTTTGGTTGCTAATGCGGAGCGCTTACGATTCATTCAAGTACCAAGGATTGGTAAATATAAACCATTTTAAACAAAGCTAACGGTTTGCAAGTTCTCGCGATATTTTCCCCGAGATATTTCCTGCAGTATCCGAGCTCGATCGCGTGTGTTTTTGCTATTTTTACAAAGGTCTTTTCTTTGCTGTTCTTGGGATTGGCTTTGTGTTCGGACGTTGTGTGTTTAATGGTTTTGCCAATTCACTGGCTGTTTTTCGCCGCGAGTACCTACGTTTGGGTACAATTCGTTTGGCACACAGGTAGATAGTTAAAGCACTTGTTTAATTCAATTTCTTGCGGTTCCCCGTCAATGAAACCCAGTTCTTTGTGTGGTGGTTGAATGTTTACATTGAGAGACGTCTCGCTTCGCTTGTCTTGGAAAAAAATCAATATTTCTCCTTCTTTTACAATAGATCGTGGCCTGGGATTACCTACGATTTCAATGTGGCTGTTGTTTATCTACGTCGAAGCATCTGTTCGTTTAAAGGAGTTGAAAAATCTGCCATTTCATTTGGATTTATGTCGACCTTTTGCAGCTCATTGGTACTGTATTAATATTAACATTTGTAAATTACATGTTTATAAATTTACCGACAGCCTTTAAAATGGCACGTTTATTAATTTGAGATGTTTTGCCGTCCCAAAAAGGAAGAATGATGAAGTTTTGCTAATGGTTTTGAAGTCGGGCGATTTTTGGAAGGTCTCGAATGCAGACAATGAACTTTTGTGTTCGTGGGATATCTGCTAAAAAGTTACAAAGAGTTTTTAATTTTTGCCAGGGCAGCTGATCTTATGAGACTATTTAAATTTGCCTTTGTCTTCATTTGGCTTGCAATATTAATGCCCAGGGCATTTGAATAGTCTTATATACAGGATTTTTTGCCATCTGTTTTCGATTACAACTGCTGTCGGTACTTAATTTTCCATTGATGAGTAAAATCATCTGGCATTAGATAGAGTAAAATACTAAAGTAGGTCACATCTGGGTGCATTGCAAGGTAATGGTTTAACAAGAGACACTGACAGATAGTTTTGTTAACTTATTAACTGACTGTACTCTTCCACTGATGAGTAAAATCATCTGACATTAGACAGAGTAAAATACTAAAGTAGGCCACATCTGGGTGCATTGCAAGCTAATGGGTTAACAAGAGACACTGACAGATATTTTTGTTAACTTATTAACTCACAGTACTCTTCCACTAACTACCATACTGCCATTTATAGTATTGGTTATCCAGTTGTAACCCTGGGTTATGGTGTGAAAAGTTACGTAGGTTATAAAATACGACAGGTTGGTATCACAGTTTGGTTTTACAGTTTACTTACCTGCTGTAGTTACTTGTACATGTCTCGATATCTAGCACTGAATTCATTAGACTTTGTAAATCTTTTTCTAGCGTAAAATTCAACAAGTTAGCAAGGAGAATGAATTTTATATGGAGTTGATAAACCAATCATTACCTACGGAGAATGTGGAAAATACTGTCAAAGGTACCATTCGAGAGACACTGACAGATAGTTTTGTTAACTCATTAACTGACAGTACTCTTCCACTGATGAGTAAAATCATCTGGCATTAGACAGAGTAAAATACTAAAGTAGGTCACATCTGGGTGCATTGCAAGTTAATGGGTTAACAAGAGACACTGACAGATAGTTTTGTTAACTTATTAACTGACAGTACTCTTCCACTGATGAGTAAAATCATCTGACATTAGACAGAGTAAAATACTAAAGTAGGTCACATCTGGGTGCATTGCAAGCTAATGGGTTAACAAGAGACACTGACAGATAGTTTTGTTAACTCATTAACTGCCAGTACTCTTTCACTGATGAGTAAAATCATCTGACATTAGACAGAGTAAAATGTCAAGCAAGGTGCATTGCAAGCTAATGTTTTTTTTCTGTTTCCAGGAAATTCAATTGACAAAATTCCTGAAGAGACAGTGAGCCCACCAGCTAGGAAAGCCAGCTGTCAAGCTCTGAGTAATGGTTCCGTCAATAAAAGTTACAATGAACTATTATATAGTCAGAATAATGACAAGACTGTTACTAACGAGAAATCAAGTAGGAATAACGTTAAGGTATCCGCAGCTTCGTCGTCGAAGAAACTTAACGAGGACCATAATTTAAACGAACTTGAGAACAAAAACGAACCAGATGGTCGTTTAGCGAATGGTCATACCCGACCACTGAAGCACAATAGTCCACTAAGAGCTGTTAACGGTGGAGAATTTGAAGATGATTCGGACAGTGGAGAGTCTTCGAACACTTCTTCTTCAAGCGGTCATGGTTCTAGTAAGAAGGATAATCAAACGAAAACAACACAGGTATATTTGTTAATCTTTTGTATTAAGATACGCAGCATTGGCTATATAAACATGGAAATGTTCTAGGATTTGGGCAAAATATTTGGTATAAAAATTAACAAAATTGAACATAATTACAGAAGCTAAAATTCAAACAATTTCTCAGGAAACGAAATATCTTTCTGTGGTTGGTGATGTGAAACCTTTGTTACTGACACAGCTGAAGGAGGAGAAGAGTGCTAGGTATTGTCTCTATTGGTCCAGTAAGGATCATCTGTTATTGATCCAGTGTTACTACAGGAGGAAACCTAAACTAAACTAACTTTATTTATACTGGATAGCTCTATCAGTTCTAAACTGTTCTTCCTAGAGGTCCAGTAAGGATCATCTGTTATTGATCCAGTGATACTACAGAAGGAAACCTAAACTAAACTAACTTTATTTATACTGGATAGCTCTATCAGTTCTAAACTGTTCTTCCTAGAGGTCCAGTAAGGATCATCTCTTATTGATCCAGTGTTACTACAGGAGGAAACCTAAACTAAACTATTTAAACCTTTATCTGTTAAATTATTCCATTCTTCCACTGTCTAGACGACGGGTAGAAAGCACATTGAACCAGATGGAAAGTGATCTCAAACGGGCGAGACAAGACTTGCAAAGCAGTCGTCATAGTGAACAAGATATGAGAACGCAGTTGCAGACTGTTACTTCGAACGAAAAATCCCTGAAATTTGAAGTGAATCAGTTGAAGAATGATAATGAAATATATCAACAAAAGTATGTACATACAAAAACTTTTCTGAAATGAACACATTGTTTCCTAGTCATGTTTCATGAAGGTAGACAAACCAGGAAACATGTTTCCTAGCCATGTTTCGTGAAGGTAGACAAACCAGGAGACATTGTTTCCTAGACATATTTCATGAAGGTACACAAACCACTGACACAAACCAGGAGACATTGTTTCCTAGCCATATTTCATGAAGGTAGACAAACCAGGAGACATTGTTTCCTAGCCATGTTTCATGAAGGTGGACCAAACCAGGAAACATTGTTTTCTAGACATATTTCATGAAGGTACACAAACCACTGACACAAACCAGGAGACATTGTTTCCTAGCGATATTGGCGAAGATAACCCTCATAGTTTGGGCAATACGATTTACTTTCTTTATCTTTACTCCAGGATTCAAACGTTAACCGCTAGCCGTCAGCAAGATCGCAACAGTATCGCAACCTTGGAACGGAAACTGAAATCGGAACGCGACGCCCGACAGTTGACGGACTCCCAGCTTCGTGAAGAACGGAAGAAAGCGAAAGCCGACGAATTCCGTCAGTCGCGCGAGGAGAACGCGATCCACGAACATTGCAACGCGCGCAGAGTGGAACTCGAAGCGCGGGCTCACGAGAAAGACGAGAAGATCAGGTCCATGGAGAGAGAGATTGAAACGCTCAAAGCGAAAACGAATGGAAACGATAACATCCAGTTGAAAAAGGAGACGGAGGCGTTGATGTCGACCTTAGCTCAGATTCGTGGCAAGAATACGCATTTGGAGAACAGCTTGAGTTCCGAGACACGCCTGAAGTTGGATCTATTTTCAGCCCTGGGAGAGACGCGTCGACGACTTGAGATCTCGCAAGGCCAGTTGATTAGCAAGGAACAAGAGATAGTGAATTTGAAAGCAAGGATTGCTGAGGTGATGGCCGTGATGCCCCTCAGTGCAAACGGGGACGCGGGGCAGGTGTATGGTAGCCACCACTCACCACCTCCACCGCCCTTGGCCGACCACGAGGACGTTGCTAATGGTTCTGTCTTCATCCCCAAGGCGAAGAATGGTTTATTGTAGATCCAGGTTCGGGGCTGTTCACGCGAGCGCGGTAGCAAGGACCTAAGACCCTGATGTAAGTTTCTTTGAGTGAAATAAAATTATTTGAGAGTTTCATCAACTATCATTGCTTGATCAAACGAGAACAAGAGTTGCATGAGAGTTGACAAGCGAGAGTTTACATGAGAGTTTCATCAACTATCATTGCTTGATCAAACGAGAACAAGAGTTGCATGAGAGTTGACAAGCGAGAGTTTACATGAGAGTTTCATCAACCCTTATTGCTTGATCAAACGAGAACAAGAGTTGCATGAAAGTTGACAAGCGAGAGTTTAAATGAGAGTTTCATCAACCCTTATTGCTTGATCAAACGAGAAGAGTTGCATGAGAGTTGACAAGCGAGAGTTTACATGAGAGTTTCATCAACTATTATTGCTTGATCAAACGAGAACAAGAGTTGCATGAGAGTTGACAAGCGAGAGTTTACATGAGAGTTTCATAAACTATCATTGCTTGATCAAACGAGAACAAGAGTTGCATGAAAGTTGACAAGCGAGAGTTTAAATGAGAGTTTCATCAACTATCATTGCTTGATCAAACGAGAACAAGAGTTGCATGAGAGTTGACAAGCGAGAGTTTACATGAGAGTTTCATCAACTATCATTGCTTGATCAAACGAGAACAAGAGTTGCATGAGAGTTGACAAGCGAGAGTTTACTGAGAGTTTCATCAACTATCATTGCTTGATCAAACGAGAACAAGAGTTGTATGAGAGTTGACAAGCGAGAGTTTACATGAGAGTTTCATCAACTATCATTGCTTCATCAAACGAGAACAAGAGTTTCTCTCAAATAACTTGGATCTAGGCCTTTGCCATCTAGCTCGCGTGAACAGAATTATGGACATTATAGTTGCGAGGTTATTTCAAAGGGATTTAGTTGACTTTCTGTTGAAAAGTTTAGTACATTTGTAGCTGAAATACTTGGTCGTATAATGATATCGTAGTAGCTCTATGTTTTAAGTACACTGAGACAGTTCAATGTTGCATTCGCAGAAAAATGAATAAAAAACAAAAGTTAACAGTTTTGTTGTCTTCTTGTTTGCTTAAAATTATGAAGAAGAAATTTATTACTAATTATTATTATGCGTGAATTTAGAGTGCGTTAACACTTACGTGAAATCTCGTTGAAAAAATTTAAATAATTGACACAAATTGTCTTTACATGTGCAGTTAGTTATCAACTAAAGGTCTGTTCACACGATCCACTTTTGTTTGATCCAATTCACTTCTGATCGATGTTTTACAGTCTGTTAGCTTGTGATGTTTATTCTCAATTCTCAACATCTGTTAACACGATCCAATTTTGTTCGATCTAATAGACACTCAGTCCCGAATTTATTCTCGGGCAGTGAAAACCGTCCCAGAAACAATAGATTACATCGCCCGCCTCGTCTCCAAGCTATTGTTCTGCATGCACTGAAGCAAATTCGAGAAGTGTCTATTCACTTCTGATGGATGTTTTATAGTCTGTTGTCTTGTGATGTTTATGGGGCAGCAAATGCACTGAAGCCATTGCAGTGCTGCTTTATCAAACAACAGACTGAAAACAGACTACATTCCATACCTCAGAAGTGAATTGGACCAAGCTAGTTATCAGGGAACTTTTAGCTTCGCTACGTCTACGAAACCTAGTACGACCATACAAGATATATTTTAAATGAATATCCGCTTCAAAACGGAATCTAATGAGGCTGAAACCGGCGGAAAATCGACTAAGAAAATCTCGTATAGTGAGTGGTACCAGATTTCGTAGCCGTAAGCTCTGGATTACATTAAAACAAATTATGCAATGGTCCTGCGATTATTTTCATTCGGATTTCGAGGTTATAAAGTTGCTTTGAAAGTTTGAATCTAACCTTAAGTCTCAATGATTGAACCAATGGTTTCTCTGACATTTCCTGTCCCAAGGAACACGACAAATCCAGCACCAGTGAAATCCACATCTTGAGCATGTCATATGATTGCAACCCGCTGAATAAATATTGAAAAAATCAAATTAAAAGTTTGCATAGTGAATGTTCTTCCCAAGAGGTCCAGTAAGGATCATCTCTTATTGATCCAGTGTTACTACAGGAGGAAACCTAAACTAAACTAACTTTATTTATACTGGATAGCTCCATCAATTCTAAACTGTTCTTCCTAGAGGTCCAGTAAGGATCATCTCTTATTCATCCAGTGTTACTACGGGAGGAAACCTAAACTAAACTAACTTTATTTATACTGGATAGTTCTATCAGTTCTAAACTGTTCTTCCTAGAGGTCCAGTAAGGATCATCTCTTATTGATCCAGTGTTACTACAGGAGGAAACCTAAACTAAACTAACTTTATTTATACTGGATAGCTCTATCAGTTCTAAACTGTTCTTCCTAGAGGTCCAGTAAGGATCATCTCTTATTGATCTAGTGTAGTACAGCAAAAAACCTGAACTAACTGGCTCTATCAGTTTTAAACATCTTAATTTTAACTGACCGTTCTTCTCGACTGGAACATTGCACTTGGTATTGGGACATCTTTTAGTGCTCTTTTTTATATGGGCTTCAGATTGTTCGTTCCATCTTGCTCGTTGATTATTCGCTTCAGTGACCTGAAACCTCTAAAACAGAAAAATAGAAGAACTTAATATTATAATTTTATCACCACTTGGTTACTCCAGACACCAAAGGAGAAGATTATAAGGTCAGGGGCAAATTGGATAAAGACTTACGTTTGCTGCTGTGTTTCCAGAAGCAGATGCTCCAGCGGTAGCCTCACTTGATTGACATTCTCCTTCATGGTAGGGCCGTGAACAATTTCGACAAAACACAAGCTAAAATGTGAAAAAGGTAATAATGACTTCTAGGAAGAACAGTTTAGAACTGATAGAACTATCCAATATAAATAAAGTTAGTTTAGTTTAGGTTTCCTCCTGTAGTAACACTGGATCAATAAGAGATGATCCTTACTGGACCTCTAGGAAAAACAGTTTAGAACCTATAGAGCTATCCAGTATAAATAAAGTTAGTTTAGTTTAGGTTTCCTCCTGTAGCAACACTGGATCAATAAGAGATGATCCTTACTGGATATCTAGGAAGAACAGTTTAGAACTGATAGAGCTATCCAGTATAAATAAAGTTAGTTTAGTTTAGGTTTCCTCCTGTAGTAGCACTGGATCAATAAGACATGTTCCTTACTGGACCTCTAGGAAAAACTGTTTAGAACTGATAGAGCTATCCAGTATAAATAAAGTTAGTTTAATTTAGGTTTCCTCCTGTAGTAACACTGGATCAATAAGAGATGATCCTTACTGGACCTCTAGGAAGAACAGTTTAGAACTGATAGAGCTATGACATCCAGTGTAAATAAACAAAGACAGTATACAGTATACACTTACCCCACACCCATGTTCACACGTTACTCGACGGCGCCCTTGTGGGGGAAATATACCCTGTCCACATCCCCGACCTGGGCAAAGTACCCCACCGGCTAAAAGGACACATTCCTCGGCGGCAAATGTCTGGAAACGTTCATACTAGAAAACGGTGAAAAGGAGTGTGGCTCAGGTCAGTCTTCGAATGGGAGCAGTGGAGATTGAGGAGGAATGGATACTTTGATTAAACTAAATTTTGTAAAAAAAAAATCTAAATTTGAAAAGCATTTGTACCTGTTCATCGCCAAGCAACCGGAAGTGATGTGGATCACTGATAAAGGCCGCGCGACAATCATCTAAAAATAAGTATAAAAATAAGTATTTTATAATCAGTCTTGGTTCAACTCTTGTTCTCGTTTGATGAAGCAATGATAGTTAATGAAACTCTCATGTAAACTCTCGCTTGTCAACTCTCATGCAACTCTTTTTCTCGTTTGATCAAGCAATGATAGTTGATGAAACTCTCATGAAAACTCTCGCTTGTCAACTCTCATGTAACTCTTGTTCTCGTTTGATCAAGCAATGATAGTTGATGAAACTCTCATGTAAACTCTCGCTTGTCAACTCTCTTGCAACTCTTGTTCTCGTTTGATCAAGCAATGATAGTCGATGAAACTCTCATGTAAACTCTCGCTTGTCAACTCTCATGCAACTCTTGTTCTCGTTTGATCAAGCAATGATAGTTTATGAAACTCTCATGTAAACTCTCGTTTGGCAACTCTCATGCAACTCTTGTTCTCGTTCGATCAGGCAATGATAGTTGATGAAACTCTCATGTAAACTCTCGTTTGTCAACTCTCATGCAACTTTTGTTCTCGTTTGATCAAGCAATGATAGTTGACGAAACTCTCATGTAAACTCTCGCTTGTCAACTCTCATGCAACTCTTTTTCTCGTTTGATCAAGCAATGATAGTTGATGAAACTCTCATGTAAACTCTCGTTTGTCAACTCTCATGCAACTCTTGTTCTCGTTTGATCAGGCAATGATAGTTGATGAAACTCTCATGTAAACTCTCGTTTGTCAACTCTCATGCAACTTTTGTTCTCGTTTGATCAAGCAATGATAGTTGACGAAACTCTCATGTAAACTCTCGCTTGTCAACTCTCATGCAACTCTTTTTCTCGTTTGATCAAGCAATGATAGTTGATGAAACTCTTATGTAAACTCTCGCTTGTCAACTCTCATGCCACTCTTGTTCTCGTTTGATCAAGCAATAATAGTTGATGAAACGCTGGTTAAATCCCTAAGACTATTCTTGTTTTTTACCTGAATTTCCTGGGCAGGCGATAGTGTATCCCTTTCGTTCTGTTTGAACAAATCGTCTCTCGCTCAAATATGTAACGCAATACTCGCGAAAACAATCCTCACAAATCGTATGCTTGCTTTCACAAGGAAAAACTAAAATAACATCCCTTAAAAAGAAGAAAAACGAAGCATTAACCGCAAGAAGTTGTAAATAATAAATAAAAAGTAAAAAATCAAGTTTTGAGGAGTTTGAAGAAACGTGAAGAACCGAAATATCTTGTGCTCGCTTTCAACCAATCAGAGGGCAGGAATTGGGGTGTTTAACCAATGAGAGGCTCGGAAAGCAGCACGGTTATTTGGCGGGAACGTTTTTCGATTTCGGCGGGAAAGTTTCCCGCCTCTAAATTGCACACCGATCTCTATACGAACACTGGAGCGAGAGCGGTTAAAAGTAAACCAATAAATCGCATATTACATGGAATAAACAAATGAATTTTATTAAATAAATCAATTTAATAACATTTCTGCTCGACGTATGACTATGAAACTGTTTTAAAACCATTTTAATTTGTATTAAAATATCGTTTTAAAAGAGCTAATTTTCACGTATTGCCCCACCCCCCCCCCCGTTGAAAGTTACAAAGTATCAATTTACTTGTGGCCTTCGAATCACTTTGAGCAGACGAAATAAACAACAATTCGGTTGTAGAACTTTAAAAGAGTTTGTCTCAAAATGGATCCTTTATATTACACTGGAAAATCTTTAAAGCGATGGCAATTGGTGAAAACTTTAAACCATTGCGGTTCTTCTGGGCAAATTCAGAAAATTCGCACGCAATGTGCTGGTTCAGCCAGGGCAATAATTCAAAATAAACGAGCGCTTGGCATCGAATTACAAAAGGACTGTAGTTTTATATCGATACAAAGTATATCTCGTGCAGAAGCAAGCGACACAAACGGTTGTGGCAAACCCTTATGCGTTCAGATTGTTGTCAGAGTGAAGAGGCGAGTCAAATATCCGATAACAAAAGCTATTCGAGCGATTGGATTGTGCGAGGACAATCGTGGTTGTAAATTCACAGACTGTAGCTACCCGAGACGCTCTAGAAATCAATGTTGTTGTCGCGTGTACGAGAATTTAAACAAAGATGATGTAGACGTGATGTTTGACGACGATGCTCCAGTGCATTATCTCTGGTCCCAAACGCAAAAGTATTTTAAAAGTGAAGATGATATTGTTTCCCCTGATGAAGACGCTATCTCAACAGGGAAAATTTAATATTTAGAAACAGTACACGCGGGTTGACAACTGTGGGCTGTGGCTATGGCCTATGGCTATACTCAGTTATAAATATACAATCCTGCTACATCAATGTTTAAACCAAGCTTTGTTGTCTAAAAATTTAACTGTTATTTCATGATGGGACCCTCACCACAAACTTTTGTTATAGTTTTGTAATGCAACATCACAACTGTTATTGTTATAGATGTTCTGCAAAGGACCAATAATATAGCTGGGGGTTTTTTTTAAAACCTATTGAATATTTTGACTTTGAATATTTTCAGTGTTAGTGTGTTGTTTCTAGCCATTATAGTTCTGTTTAAAGTGTTGTCATTTTGAAAATCTTGGCTAATAAAAAGTACGGAGAAATTAGCTTTTTTAGCCTCCAATTTGCTAAAATTAGGCTCCAGTGCTTGCAACCACTGAGCTATTTGCGCGTGTTGAGGCAATTCCGGAAACACCCAAATTCCAGGAATTCCTCTGTCAGCAAAGCATATCATTTATGCAAAACTTTATAAGGAAGAGATATTTGCTTTCATAAACTGATCATTTTGGCAAAGATTTCAAGAAAATACAAACACAGACATCTTCAAGAACGAACACTGTATCTACTATATTCAGTCTATACAGCGAGGTTTATACTACAGAGCGACAAACAACACAGAACTTGTTTTATTATTACGACACAAGGACGACGTGAAATATGGCTTCATATATACAAGGCTACGATGAACAACGCTTCGAGACCAAAGTCAGTCAAAATTTCCTTTGTCAGATTTGTTTCAATGTTTTGAAAGAGCCTGTCCTGTGTCCGAAGAACCAACATTGTTTTTGCCGTTGTTGTATTACGAAACATCTCGAAAATTCTCAAACATGTCCAACGTGTGCTGATGAACTGACCGTAGAGACTTTGACCGAACCAAATAGAATGGTAAAAGATGTTATAAATGAGTTAAAAATTCGTTGCGTTTACATCGACAGAGGTTGTCAAGAAGTTGTAGAAGTACAGCATCTTGACCGCCATGAAGATACATGTGGATATACACCAGCTGTTTGTACAAACCAAGGCTGTGGTTTAATTGTCAACAAGCGTGATCTTATTCACCATGAAAGTGAAGTCTGTGAATTCCGAAAGTTGAAGTGTCACTCGTGCGGAGAAATAACGAAAACTTTGGCAGATATGGAGGAAAGAATGGCGAATATCGAGAAGAATATGGTAACAAATAAAACAGTTGAAACTAAAATAACAAATTTAGAGAAAAATATCACAAGAAATACCACCGGCACAGTCGCAGATATGGAAGGAAAACTCAAAGCGGTTAACAACGAAGTCAAAGGATTGAAAACAGCTTTTGTCAGAGCTTTTGATGAAATGAAGCATGTTCTTATCACGATGGAGGGCAAGATAGAAGAAAACACAAGAAAAGTAAGAAATAGACCAAGTGGTGATAACGAAAATATAATTGTTGCTGGAGATGTTGTAACTAACTCTGTAGAGATGTTTAACTGGCGTCAAAGAACATGGTCGCCATTACAATCAATGCCAGAGGATCGTTATGGAGCGACTTCATTTATTTATAACAATCATATGACTATAGCTGGGGGTACCTGTGGTTGGTCTGACATTGTTGATGATATGATTAGAATGAATATTGACCCAAACGTTGATCTCTCAACACACTGGAGTGACTGTCCTGTTAAACTACCTGAAAAATTAATATTCCACAGCAGTGTGCTGTATAATGATCAGTTGATAGTCTCTGGAGGTGATAATGGAAATGGTTTATCTGACTTGACCAGGGCAGTCCAGCTTGTTCCTCCCTATACTGTGAAGACCTTATCAAGAATGCCAGAACCAAGACAAGGTCACAGCATGGAAATATTTGATGATAATTTGTTGATAGTTGGTGGAAGTACAATTAGCAGTTACAAAGGCAACCTTAGCAGTGTCGTACTGTACGATATAAAAAAGAATGAGCTGAAACAGTTGTCACCACTACCATATGAAGTGAGTGCTATGGCAACTGTGAGATGGGGAGACAACATTGTTGTTATTGGTGGCATTGACAAACACGGCAAGTTATTAGATAAAGTTATCATTTACAATGTCAAGACAGAACAAAGTCACATGCTGCCATCAATGAGATGTAAGAGGAGGGGATGTACTGCAGTTGTTATTGAAAACAACATTGTAGTCCTGGGAGGGGAGAGTGAGCAAGCAATGCTAACGTCAGTCGAAGGTTTCAACTTTGAAAGGTATTCTTGGGAAGAACTTCCAGAAATGTCTGAAGCAAGATTGTGGCCCACTGCTGTTGTTGTGTGAACAATATGTAAGGTATTAAGTGAAAACTCCTTACATATTATGAACAATTGAAATGAACTATAAGATTTTCACAAAGTTATAAAAATAGATTGTAGCATTCTAAGTTGATTGTCAGACATATACTGATTTGTATTTTTGTGATTGAGCCAGTTCTTATAAAATTATGTATTAAAGAACAATGACAAATGTATGAAATAGATATTTCCATTCAGGAAGGTTTAAAATGAAACATTAAATAAAAGAATTCAAACAATAGGTAGGCGCATGAGCGAAAAAAATGATTAAATATTGACCATGTGGATCAGAGTTATTATTTCTATTAACTGCGGTTTGGATTAAAAAATTCAACTTTCCCAGAAGGATAAATATTTCTGAGAGGAGACATAAAATGAAAGGGTAAACTTACGATATTTCAGAGCATGTGATGCAGGGAATATTTCTGATGTTAGATTTCAACATTGATAACGGCGCCTGTTCATCTCTTCCATGATGTTCCCCACATTTGAAATAAAATTCCTATGAAAGAACAAGAAGTTTGTGATCGACCTACTTTAGTATTTTATCCTGTCTATTGTCAGATAATTTTACTCGATCATCAGTGGAAAAGTACTGTCAGTTGATAAGTTAACAAACTAATATCTGTCAGTGTCTCTTATTAACCCATTAGCTTGCAATGCACCCAGATGTGACCTACTTTAGTATTTTACTCTTTCTAATGTCAGATGATTTTACTCATCAGTGGAAGAGTACTGTCAGTTAATAAGTTAACAAAACTATCTGTCAGTGTCTCTTGTCAACCCATTAGCTTGCAATGCACCTAGATGTGACCCACTATTGTATTTTAGGTCTGATAGGTGGATAACTTACAGCTGTTTTTCCCTGACAGTTTGTATTGGATTCACATTGTCCCTGCATGCGGCCTTTGATCAATACATCGTCCCAACCATTTGGACCCTTGCAAGAAACCATAAATATTGTGTAAACAAGATGTTTGTTGACATTCAAAAGCTTTCGCAGCAAGCTTGCAAACAAGTTGTAACAATGTCGACATTTTATAAAGTTTAAATATAAATCTGATGGAGATTTTTTAGAAGTTGTTTATAAGGAAACAGTAAATACCTGTGATAGAACAAAGCTTCCTTCCTTGCAATTTGAACATCGACATCGCAATTTTCCTCGTGTTAGTTTCTTGCAAGTTTTACAATAAACAAAGAAGAAACTTTGCTTGCCTGAGATGAGAGAGTACGAAAAATATGGATTGTTAAACGAACCCTGGTGTTAGAGACGAGATTATTAGAAAGAGAGGGTGGGGCTTTATGGATAAAGTATAATAAGATTGGGGGGAAAGGCAGGGTAGAGAAACCCCTACCCATGCAGCTTTCTCCATGAGAAAAATGCAAGGGTATCAAGCTGGGGATAGGGGTTTATTGGAGACAGACAATTAGAAAAGTGGTACAGTACTGTATTAGAGGACATCCAGGTAAGGGGGTATGGGCAAGGGTGGGGTGGGTTAATTGGGAAAAGAGTTTTTAGAGAAGAGGCATATTAGAAAGGGGCATGCTAGTAGGGAAGGGTATAGGGGATTCAGGATAAGCTATAGAGGGTTAATTAGAGAGAGATATAAGAGTTCTAAGAGGTACATTAGGGAGGGGCATACTATTAGGGAAGGGAATAGAGAATGATTTGAGGGTTAATTAAAGAGGAATATTAGAGAAGAGGTACATTAGAGAAGGACATGTAATTATGAGAGAGGGGAATAGAAAGTGATTTGAGGGTTAATTAGAGATGGAATATTGGAGAAGACGTACATTAGGGAAGGGCATAATTATGAGAGAGGGGAATAGAAAGTGATTTGAGGGTTAATTAGAGATGGTAATTGAGAAGGATATTTGATAGAGGACAAACTACAGAAAGAGTTATTGGAAAAAAGGTGTATTACACAGGGATACAATACAAGAAACAGACATGAAAAAGAGGTTATTATAGTGGATCAACTAGAGAGAGGTTTATCAGAGAGGGAGAGGAAAGAAAGTGAACATAAAGGGAACATACCGGAGGTATTTATTGAGGGTGTAAAATTAGGAAGGCGATTAAACAGGGTGGGGTCACACCATTGAGAGGTTTATGAAAGATCTCGTCACCACCTGATTGTTGAGATTCACCATCTTCATCTTCGTCATCCTGTGTCAGTTTCACTTTCGTCAAACCATCATTTGCATTGTAAGTTGCATCAACTGAGATCTGACCAGATTTCTGAACAGCATGAATGACGCTGTGGTTCATCTCTGCATTCTATAAAAAAACACAGTTTCAGATCTCTGAATGTCAGACTCATTGTCGACTGATGGCAATTTAAAGAATGAGAATTCTGAGAATCATCTGAAAAATCCTGGAAACTGTCCATGAGTGAGAATTCACGTAAGTTTGGGTCAGGTTTTAGTGGAGAAAGATGGCTTTGAAAAATGTCTTAAAAGATCATTTTATCAAGATTCAGACACTGTGATATTCTGAGATGGAGTGACTCAAGCAAGACAAGCTGTATCATAATCTATCTCAGATTTACTATAACGAAGATGGTCGCTTTAAACATCAAAATCCCGAACTAAAAAAAACCTCATTTATGAAATCATTTCAACATTTCACAGTAAAGCTTTCGTTATTTCTTTGAAAATTGTTCTATAAATCACATTAAAAGCTTGATATTTTCCTAAAAATCACTCACCCCGAGTGTTAATTCATTGGGTAATTCTCGACCGGCAAAAATGACTTTAATTCCAGCAGTTTTGACATTTTTCTTGCGAGCAATTTCGCGTTTTAGTTGAGCGATTGTCCAGGATGGTTGAAAACGAAGGTTAAATGATTTGCCGTTGAAGTTTACGGTCACGTCGTGCGACATATTTCGCTAGAAAAGCTCGTGTATTTCCTTGCAATTGAGAGAAAATAATTCAAAATATTTTGCTTCAAAACGAAAGTTTGGAAAAGAAATGTTTGAAAATTGAAAGTTTAAAACGACGGTTGCTTCCACTTACCAAAACAAACTTCCTCTTTTTTCCTTGAAATTTCACTCCCTGGCAGTGTTCTGATCTCTTGGAAAACTGGAATGTTCAGCGTTTTCTATGTTTGCAAACAATATAATTCCAGAGATTAGGTTAGGATTAGGGTTAAATTTAGGATTAGGTTTTACTCTAATTAACAATAAACCTAAAACCAAATCTTAACCCAAATCGTAACATAATCTCAAATAGTAAATAAGTCTGAGGGATAGTTTTTTTAACTCATTTTAACTGCCAAAACAAACTTCCTCTTTGCCTTGAAATTTCACTCCCTGACAGTTTACTGATCTCTCGATAAACTGGAATGTTTAGCGTTTTCTATGTTGGCAGTATTATTCCATTTAATCCTTAAGATTAGGTTAGGATTAAATTTAAATTTATGATTAGGTTTAACCCTATTAAACTATAAAAATCTAGAACCTTGACCTAAAGCATAATCTTAACCCAATTCCTAACATAATCCGAAAGATTAAATTCGTGTATTTAGGATTTAGTGAACATGGAGTTTTATATTAAAAACTATCGCAGCATCCTCAGCACTTTTGAAAGGTAAATTCGCATTTTAATAGAACAAGTTAAAGCTTTTAGAGTCGACTTAAATTACTGCAAAATAACATTTCTCTAAAATCTACTGAAAATATCAGAAAAAGGTTTCATTTGGCTCCAGCTCTCTCCGTCAGCTCGTAACATTTTCAAATTCATTTTTGGAAACACCGCATCAAATTCCAGGAATTCCTGAGTCCTGACAGGAGAGGACGCGTCTTATGCAAATACTTTATAAGGAAAAGATATTTGTCTTCATAAACTGATCATTTTGGAGAAGATTTCGAGAAAATACAAACACCGACTTCTCCAAGAACGAACACTGTATCTATATTCAGTCTATACAGCGAGGTTTATACTACAGAGCGACAAACAACACAGAACTTGCTTTATTATTACGACACAAGAACGACGTGAAATATGGCTTCATATATACAAGGCTACGATGAAGAAAGGTTTGTGGACAAAATAAATCAAAATTTTCATTGTCAGATTTGCTTCAACGTCTTGAAAGAGCCGGTTATGTGTTCGAGAAACCAGCATTCTTTTTGCCGTTGTTGTATTACGAAACATCTGGAAAATTCTCAAACATGCCCAACGTGTGCTGATAAACTGACCGTAGAGACTTTGGCCGAACCTTCACGAATGGTAAAAGATTTTTTAAATGAATCAAAAATTCGTTGCGTTTACATCGACAGAGGTTGTCAAGAAGTTGTAGAAGTGCAGCATCTTGACCGCCATGAAGATACATGTGGATATACACCAGCCGTTTGTACAAACCAAGGCTGTGGTTTAATTGTCAACAAGCGTGATCTTATTCACCATGAAAGTGAAGTCTGTGAATTCCGAAAGTTGAAGTGTCACTCGTGCGGAGAAATAACGAAAACTTGGCAGATATGGACGAAAGAATGGCGAATATGGAAAAGAACATAGGGAAGAATAGTATAACAATTGAAACTAAAATAACAAATTTAGAGCGAAATGTTGCACGGAATATCGAAAAAACACGGCAGATATAAAAGCAGATATGGAAGGAAAACACGAAGCGGTTAACAACAAAGTCGATGGATTGAAAACAGCTTTGGTCAGAGCTTTTGATGAAATGAAGGACGTTTTATCACGATGGAGGGCAAGAAAGAAGAAAACACAAGAAAAGTAGGAAATAGACCAAGTGGTGATAAGGAAAATATAATTGTTGCTGGAGGTTTTTTGAATGAGTCTGTAGAGATGTTTAACTGGCGTCAAAGAACATGGTCGCCATTACAATCAATGCCAAAGGATCGTTGGGGAGCGACTTCATTTATTTATAACAATGATATGACTATAGCTGGGGGTTTCTGTGGTTTGTCTGGCATTGTTGATGATATGATTAGAATGAATATTGACCCAAACCCTGATCTCTCAACACACTGGAGTGACTGTCCTGTTAAACTACCTGATAAGTTGAAATACCACAGCAGTGTGCTGTATAATGATCAGTTGATAGTCTCTGGAGGTGATAATGAAAATGTTTCATCTGACCTGATCAGAGCAGTCCAGCTTGTTCCTCCCTATACTGTGAAGACCTTATCAAGAATGCCAGAACCAAGACAAGATCACAGCATGGAAATATTTGATGATAAATTGTTCATAGTTGGTGGAAGAACAACTGGTAGACACAAAGACAATCTCAGCAGTGTCGTACTGTACAATATAAAGAAGAATGAGCTGAAACAGTTGTCACCACTGCCGTATGAAGTGAATCACATGGCAACTGTGAGATGGGGAAACAACATTGTTGTTATTGGTGGCGTTGACAAACATGGCAAGACATTAGATACAGTTATCATTTACAATGTCAAGACAGAACAAAGTCACATGCTGCCATCAATGAGATGTGAGAGGTATGGATGTACTGCAGTTGTTATTGAAAACAACATTGTAGTCCTGGGAGGGCGTGGTGAAGATGGATACCTGAAATCAGTTGAATGTTTCAACTTTGAAAGGTATTCTTGGGAAGAACTTCCAGAAATGTCTAAAGCAAGATGCTCGCACACTGCTGTTGTTGTGTGAACAATATGTAAGGTATTAAGTGAAAATTCCTATCATATTATGAACATTTGAAATGAACTATAAGATTTTCACAAAGTATAGAAATAGATTGTAGCATTCTAAGTTGATTGTCAGACATATACTGATTTGTATTTTTGTGATTAAATTTAAATTGAGTCAGTTCTTAGAACAATAATAAATCTTTGAAATAGATATTTTCATTGAGGAAGGTTTAAAATGAAACACCAAATAAAACATTTATAATAAGCTTTTCTGTTTCTCCCACCTGGGTCCCCCCCCCCTCCAAGCTAGGTTTTTTCACCCTCCTCCCACTAGGTTTTTTCAGCCACAACCTCACCCATCCCACCTGCATTCTTCTGCCCCAGCCCCCCTACCACTAGGTTTTTCAGCCACAACCCAATGCCTCCCCACCTGGGTTCTTCTGCCATGGTCCCCCAGACCAAGAATCCTAACTGAGCCTCTGCCTCAAGAAATAGCTCAGTTACCTATTTTAAATATCAGCCTGTCTGTAAATGATGTCTGTGTCTGTCAGACTGCCACAACCAAGTCATATTTTAAAATTTAACAATTAACAAGATTTGGAGAGATAGTTTTACTCTTTATTAAAACAAAACCCTGATTAACTAATATAAATTGGTTTGTCAACTAAAATAAAATTCTTGTTTCAAGTTTGCTCACAGATTGTTTTGTAATTTCACGTTTTTATGGTATCCTTGAAGGCTTTTAGTACAAGATTTACATTATCTTTTGTACTGTTCAACCCCATCAGACCAACACGCCATATCTGAAAAATTTCACGACAAAAAGTAAGGTTTTTCACAGGGAAAAAATTTGATTATGGAGGGAATATCTGCGAATATGGAGAAGAAAATTGTGAATATGGATACCTTTCCAGCAGATCTTCCAAGACCACCTGAAATATCCATTTTATATCTGAAAAAGAAATTGATTATTCAATTTTAACACTTTCCTCTTTACTGGACCTCTAATAATCACCCCCCTGTAAGTATTAAAAATGGGGTTGTTAGCAGGGGGGACTCTTTCCCAAGATTCATCACTCAGCAAGTACCGTTAATGGAATTTCCACCCCCTGCCCATATTAAAAATGACGCTAGTAGCAGGGGGGTGATTGCCTCCATTTACAGTACTTGCTGAGTGGATGAACCACTTATGCAAAAAACTATGGAGTTGTTCTTGTGATAGGTATTCTGTGCCTACACTTTCTTTTATTTTTATTGTATTTTTATGTTTACTTGAAAGCACGACATGAAATTACCATTTAGACCTAACCCGGGGGGTGACGGGAGTCAATGACCAAATTCATTACTCATTCTGTTTCGAGAAATGCATTATAGTTTAAAATTAGTTTAGCCGAATTCATATTAGAGGCGGGAAACTCGTCTTACAAGGTCAAGGAAAACAGGAAACTCGTTTTACAGGGGAAACTCCTCTTGGAAACTTATCTTAGACGGGAAACTCGTCTGATGTGAATCAGGCCACAGACGGGTTTCTCGTCAGAATTTTCCCGCCTAACTTTCCCGTCTAAACAAACGGTTAATTTGAACGGGAATCCTTTCTGGACGATAAACTCGTCTTAAATTCGCATTTAGACGGATAAATCAGACGAGTTTCTGAAATATCAACACGGTCAAGGACGGAACAAGGGTAAAGCCCGCCGCACAAGAGAGCTATCAGCTGAGCTAACGACCTCGCGAGGCAGTTAACTCAGCCTGAAAACTATCCGCACACGATAGAAACTTGCCTCTCGAGGCGAATTCCTCACGAAAAACTATCCGCACACGAGAGTAACTTGCTGAGCTAACAGCCTCGCGAGGTCTTTACCTCAGCTACCAGCTCTCGTGTGAGGCGTGCTTAACTGAGAAAATAAACAAAATTATTATCGTAATAATCACGATACCCTTTTTAGCATTACCCGACCCATCACACGTGTAAATTTTATATCCATTCCAAGTCATATTAAGACGGGTTTTTACAATCAACTTTCCTGTCTAAGATGAATTTCCCGTGCCTAATATGAATTTGGTTGTTAATGTGAGAGAGATGATACCTTCGGCTTCTCCGCTTCCTTGAATATACAATCCATTGTTATATGGTTTGTTGTTGTTTGAATAAGAACGTGATTTTCGTCAGATCTTCGCAGCAAATGGTGTCATGACAGAACTCCTGGTTTGCAAATTATGTCGACACCATTGTGTGTACGAGAACCTCTGTATAATGATAAATTCACGTTAATTTAATTGTTTTGTAAGATTATAAGAATATTATCGATTCGCTGTGTTGTTACAAGGTTACATCTGGTCTTACCTTGGTGTTCCGAAATCACCACAACCCTGACTGTCACATTCACGGATTGAATTTCTACCATTTGAGCTGCAAAGCTGACCAAGTTTAAAACATTCAACCGCATTATCTAGAAAAATAAATCCAGAAAAATACGATGAAGAATAACGAAGTGATACTTGAGAATTCTATGAACAAAGATATATATCACAATATGTATTCCAGTACCTGCAAAGACTAGGAATATAACAACGATCTTAACAACTCCAAACATCTTTGATCTGCTGAAATTTAATCTTCTAGCTTGAAATGGCTTTTCGATATAATGACTGCACTTATACAGGATGTTTAAAAAAACGAAACACTTAATATTTATGAATATTTTGATACGCTATACGATCTTTTGTGATCAAAACGAAAGTGAATTTTATAAACACTTTGAAGTTGCGTTTTTCTTATTCACCACAGCTGTAGATCAATCCACAAGATATCCTGAACCATTTGTGTGTTGATGAAAACTCATTTAGATTGGAATATTATTGCACCGCGAAAATATTCAACTTGACTTAGACAGAGTAAAATACTAAAGTAGGTCACATCTGGGTGCATTGCAAGCTAATGGGTTAACAAGAGACACTGACAGATAGTTTTGTTAACTTATTAACTGACAGTACTCTTCCACTGATGAGTAAAATCATCTGCATTAGACAGAGTAAAATACTAAAGTAGGTCACATCTGGGTGCATTGCAAGCTAATGGGTTAACAAGAGACACTGACAGATAGTTTTGTTAACTTATTAACTGACAGTACTCTTCCACTGATGAGTAAAATCATCTGCATTAGACAGAGTAAAATACTAAAGTAGGTCACATCTGGGTGCATTGCAAGCTAATGGGTTAACAAGAGACACTGACAGATAGTTTTGTTAACTTATTAACTGACAGTATTCTTCCACTGATGAGTAAAATTATCTGACACGATTAGGAAAAATCTAGGTTCATAATGCTGGACCATGCAGTTTGACCCATTCACTTAGCATACATAGCTCAGTGCGTTACACTCCAGTCCCAGTTCTCTCTCTCAGCTCGCTTTACTTTTAAATTTATTTCTGGAAACATCGCAGCAAATTCCAAGAATTCCTGACAGCAAATGATGCATTTTATGCAAACACTTTATAAGGAAGAGATATTTGTCTTCATAAACTGATCATTTTGGAGAAGATCTCGAGAAAATACAAACACAGACTTCTTTGAACACTGTATCTATATTTAGTCTATACAGCGAGGTTTATACTACAGAGCGACAAACAACACAGAACTTGCTTTATTATTACGACACTAGAACAATCTGGAAGATATGAAAGAAAAACTTGAAGCGGTTAACAACGAAGTTATCCTTACTGAACCATGATATCCACACCGTCTAGCCATATGTTCTGTCTATAAACTATTTGTTATGATTATTTTTCTTGGTATAAAGTATCATTTTCTTCGAACTCATTTCCATATAATGAAATAAGAAATTCCTAGGAACATAAACACAACCAATTGCAAGTCAGTATTTGAATAGGAGATGCTGAGCTTTTGTCAGGAGACAATAATAATAATATAATTTTTTTATACCACAAATTCCTGTCCACAAAACACTCTTTAAACACTTACGGAAGAGATATTTTTCTGCTGTTCTAAACAGATAATTTTGGCGTAGCGATTTGAGAATTGAGAAAATATAAACACAGACTTCTCCAAGAACGAACACTGTATCTATATTCAGTCTATAAAGCGAGGTTTATACTACAAAGCAACAAACAACACAGAACTTGCTTTATTATTACGACACAAGAACGACGTGAAATATGGCTTCATATATACAAGGCTACGATGAAGAAAGGTTTGTGGACAAAATCGATCAGAATTTCCTTTGTCAGATTTGCTTCAACGTCTTGAAAGAGCCTGTCCTCTGTCCAACAAACCAGCATTGTTTTTGCCGTTGTTGTATTACGAAACATCTGGAAAATTCCAAAACATGCCCAACGTGTGCTGATAAACTGACCGTAGAGACTTTGATTGAACCACAGCGAATGGTGAAAAGTTTTTTAAACGAATCAAAAATTCGTTGCGTTTACATCGACAGAGGTTGTCAAGAAGTTGTAGAATTACAGCATCTTGACCGCCATGAAGATACATGTGGATATACACCAGCCGTTTGTTCAAACCAAGGCTGTGGTTTAATTGTCAACAAGCGTGATCTTATTCACCATGAAAGTGAAGTCTGTGAATTCCGAAAGTTGAAGTGTCACTCGTGCGGAGAAATAACCAAAACTTTGGCAGATATGGAGGAAAGAATGGCGAAGAATAATCTAACAATTGAAACTAAAATAACAAATTTAGAGAAAAATATGGCGAGAAATACCACAGTCGCAGTCGCAGATTTAAAAGCAGATATGGAAGGAAAACTCGAAGCAGTTAACAGCAAAGTTGATGGATTGAAAACAGCTTTGGTCAGAGCTTTTGATGAAATGAAGGACGTTCATATCACAATGGAGGGCAAAAAAGAAGAAAACACAAGAAAAGTAAGAAATAGACCAAGTGGTGATAAGAAAAATATAATTGTTGCTGGAGGTTATACAACTAACTCTGTAGAGATGTTTAACTGGCGTCAAAGAACATGGTCGAGATTACAATCAATGCCAAAGGATCGTTGGGCAGTGACTTCATTTATTTATAACAATCATATGACTATAGCTGGGGGTTGCTGTGGTTGGTCTGGCATTGTTGATGATATTATCAGAATGAATATTGACCCAAACCCTGATCTCTCAACACACTGGAGTGACTGTCCTGTTAAACTACCTGATAAGTTGAGAAACCACAGCAGTGTGCTGTATAATGATCAGTTGATAGTCTCTGGAGGTGATAATGGAGATGTTATATCTGACTTGATCAGAGCAGTCCAGCTTGTTCCTCCCTATACTGTGAAGACCTTATCAATAATGCCAGAACCAAGACAATGCCACAGCATGGAAATATTTGATGATAATTTGTTGATAGTTGGTGGAAGAACAACTCACAGATACACAGACAGCCTCAGCAGTGTCGTACTGTACGATATAAAGAAGAATGAGCTGAAACAGTTGTCACCACTGCCGTATGAAGTGAGTCACATGGCAACTGTGAGATGGGGAGACAACATTGTTGTTATTGGTGGCGCTGACAAACATGCCAAGACATTAGATACAGTTATCATTTACAATGTTAAGACAGAACAAAGTCACATGCTGCCATCAATGAGATGTAAGAGGAGGGGATGTACTGCAGTTGTTATTGAAAACAACATTGTATTCCTGGGAGGGTGGGGTGAGGGAGGAAAGCTGAAGTCAGTTGAAGGTTTCAATTTTGAAAGGTATTCTTGGGAAGAACTTCCAGAAATGCCTAAAGCAAGATGCTGGCACACTGCTGTTGTTGTGTGAACAATATGTAAAGTATTAAGTGAAAACTCCTAACATATTATGAACAATTGAAATGAACTATAAGATTTTCACAAAGTTATAGAAATAGATTGTGTCGTGAATGTTAGTAGCGTCTTAGTTGTTATTAGCAAGGGAACAAGTTAATCGTTAACAAGTTAATTCGTGAGCGAACAAAAACTGACACTTGATTGACATATTAGATAGAGCAAGAGAGAGAGCGTGCGAGCAAGTGAGATTAGAATTAAAATAAAAATATCTTAAACAAAAGCGTGAAAATACTTCTTCAAACCAATTGTGGGAAACAACAAAATTCTCCACAAAGTGGCACCTTCGACGGCGATTATTATCTATTTGTGACTTGGAATTTATCGAGAATTAATCGGGGTTTGAGGATGTATTTTGACTAAAAAATCGAGCGTGACATGGCGGTGACGAGACAACAAAGTCAACGAATTGATCTTGAAGCACAAGAGCAGTCGGGTTTATCTAATGAAACGGAGACGAAAGTAGGAATCTTCCAGTCAGTATTGCGAAAATTATCATATTTTAACCGAGCAACAACCGAGATTTTGAGAGGGAATTCGATAGAAGCGATTAAACGACAACAAACAACACTAAAAACCAAAGTAGACGAAGCTTATGATTTGATTGTATTAATACAAGGCTTGAAGGTTGATGCGGGCCAAGAAGATGAAGTTATTGACGAGTGGACAAACGAAAACAAAGGCAAGTTACGCGTATTTGAGGAGGTTATAGAAGAGTTAAATAATAAGCTTTTAGACGACGAAGGAAAACGAAAGGAAATTGAGCGTCGGGAGAAAATTCGACAAGAAGCAGAAGCACGAGCTCAAATTAGAGATGAGGAAAGAGAGATAGAATTGGCAAAGCGTGAAAGAGAAGAAGAGTTTGCGTTATCTCTTGAGGAAAAGAAGCTAGAATTAGCTGCTGCGAAGCGGGTTAAAACGAAGTTGCCTGAGCTGCAAATCTCGAAATTTCAAGGAACTCATTTAGATTGGGTTCGGTTTTGGGGTCTATTTGAGACCCAAATTGATAAAGCTCCCATGAAAGACGAAGCAAAGTTTGCATATTTAAAAGAACATCTTGTACCTAAAGTTCGAATTACAATTGATCAATTACCACTGAATAGCGAAGGGTATGCAAAAGCGAAAAGGATGTTGGAGCAAAGATATGGTGACGCAAGCGAGGTAGTCAATGCACATATTCAAGAAATTCTGTCTTTACCTACTATTACTGGCGTATCAAAACAAAAGATACACAACTTTTATGACAGTCTTTTGGGGCATGTTCAAGCTCTTGAAGCATTCGGAAAATTGGGGGGATGTTGCAGGAAATGTAAGGATGACGTTGGATAAATTAGAAGGCATTCGAGCTGATTTAACGAGAACCTCATCAGATTGGAAAAGGTGGACTTTCCCGGAGTTAGTTGAGGCATTACGACAGTGGATTGAGCGAAACCCATTACAACAAAGTGATAAAAAAGATGGATTTTCATGGAAAGATGGTAAGCGAGATAAGTTATTGTTAACAAAGGAACAATCTAAACATTGCGTATATTGTGAAAGCAAAGATCACAGATCTGTGGAATGTGATAAAGTGGTGAATGTCAGTGACCGGAAGAAAATTCTCAGCGACAAGCACCGGTGTTTCAACTGCACTGGCGAAAAGCATAGAGCAAGTGATTGCAGAAGTAGGAGCCAATGTTACAACTGCAAGAGAAGGCATCACACTTCTATTTGTGATAAACTAAACGCAAATCAAAAACTGCTGTGTCAACCTAGTGGGAAGGATGTAGTTTATCCAGTTGTGGTGGTAGAGATGGGAGGACTAAAGTGTCGAGCACTTTTAGACACTGGGTCTGGGAGTTCATTTGCATCAAGCACGTTGTTAAACGCAATTGGAAAAAAGCCAATAAGACAAGAATTTAAATCAATAGAGATGATGCTTCAAACAACAACAAGGAAGATTGATGTTTATGAGGTGGAGATTGCAGCTGTTGATGGCAATTTCAAGATGTCATGTGAACTGAATCGAATCGACAAGGATGTGCTAATGAAAGTGCCAAATCCGAGGTATAAAGAACTTATTGAAACCCATGAACACCTTAAAGGAGTACATATGAATGATATTGATGAGAAAGCACTTTTACCTGTGCATCTAATCCTAGGTGCCAGTGATATGTCTAGAATCAAGACAACTGTACCTGCTAAGGTTGGGAACGATGGGATGCCAATCGCTGAGAAAACTGCTTTGGGATGGATTATCATGTCACCGGGGCGAGAGAAGAACCATTCCTACTTGATGTTTACCAAGAGCTCCCAAGAAGACTACATGCATCTTTGTAGTCTGGACGTGCTTGGATTAGAAGACCATGTTGAAGGAGATCAAGGGAGCGTGTATCGAGAATTTAAAGAACAGCTTACTCAGCAAGAGGACGGTCGATATGAGACATCGTTACCATGGAAGGCTCACCATCCGGAGCTGCCGACCAATTACCTTGTAGCCAAGAGGAGATTTCAGTCATTATTCAACCGACTTGACAAACAGCCTGAACTGCTGAAGACTTATCATGATATAGTGGAAAATCAACTCAAAGATGGAGTGGTCGAGATTGCGCCTGAGAAACCTGAAGGGAGCCGAGAGCATTACATTCCCCACAAACCGGTAGTACGAGAGCAAGCCGAGTCTACGAAAGTAAGAATTGTGTTTGATGCTTCGGCAAAAGCTGATCAAAAATCCCCATCATTGAATGATTGCTTGGACATTGGTCCCCCACTCCAAAGAAGAATCCTTGACATACTACTTCGTAATCGACTTAAACCTATTCTCTTAGCTGGTGATATAAAACAAGCGTTCCTACAAATAGTGATTAGAGAGAACGAGCGAGATGCGATGAGATTTTTATGGATAAACGATCTACAATGCAAAGAGATGGTGGTGTATCGTATGACCAGAGCGATGTTTGGGCTAGGCCCAAGCCCATTCTTACTCGGAGGGACTTTGAACGTTCATCTCGAGAAGTATGCAGAGCACTATCCACAATGTGTTGAAGAATTATCTGAAGGAACGTATGTTGATGACATAAACATCGGAGGTGATAAAGTAGAGGAGACGGTAGTACTCAAGGAGCAAGCCAAAGAAATTCTCAGCGAGGGAAGCTTTGTTTTGCACAAATGGCATTCTAATGCTGCGGAGTTAGAGAGTGACAACGTGGAAGACGGAGAATCTACCTTTGCTAAAGAAACTTTGGGAACTAAGCCATCGGAGACCAAGCTCCTGGGACTGGGATGGAACAAAAAGGAGGATACTTTGTCTGTATCACTACCAAAGCAGAAAGTAGAAATGACCAAACGGATAGTTCTTCAAACAATGGCGAGAGTATATGATCCCCTGGGTTTAGCTAGTCCATATTTACTCACAGCTAAAGTAATCTTCCGTGATATATGTGATCGTAAGCTCGGATGGGATGCTGAATTACCTAAAGATCTGAAGGATCGATGGAAGCGGTGGTTAGATAGATTACCAGGCAGTTTAACCTTCCCAAGAAGTATCCCTCGAGAGAGAGTCGTCACTACCGAGATTTACATTCATGGTTTCGCTGATGCAAGTATTCTGGGATGTTGTGCCGCTGTCTACGTTGTGACCAAACAGGGTGCTCTAGTTTCTCAAGGGCTGCTAGTGTCCAAAACGAGACTGGCAAAGCGAGATTTAACAATTCCAAGATTGGAACTAGTGAGTTGTCATATGGTCTGCAATCTTATTGACAATGTCAGAAAGGTTCTTAGTCATCTTCCAGTGATAAGCGTTTGTGCGTGGAGCGATTCGACCGTTTGTCTACAGTGGATTAACGGACAGGGTAACTATAAGCAATTCGTAGCAAATCGAGTGAAAAAGATCACCGAGAAGCAAATCGAGTGGAAGTATGTTCCAACTCTGGAAAACCCTGCAGATATCGGCAGTCGAGGTACAACACGAGATCTTCAAGCGAATGAAACCTGGATGAAAGGGCCTAGTTGGTTGAGTGAAACTGAAAAATGGCCGGAGCAAGTAAAGATCAAACCGAGCGAGAAGTCCGAGTCAGAAAGTCGAATGATGAGAGAAGTAATGAAAGTTACCATTCAGAAAGAGGCCGATTTCATCGATTGTTTACTAGAGAAATTCGGTCTGACTAAAACTGTTCGAATTTTAGCTTGGGTCACGAGATTTATTGACAACTTCGTGTGTGGCAAGAAAGTCAACGGACCATTAGTGACCGAAGAAACACAGAAGCAGATGAAGTTCTTGATTAAACGCGCACAATCCGAGAGCGAAGCACTTGAGATCTTCAAAGTGGATTCTACCAGATTAAATCTTCAAAAGAATGGCGAGGGAATATACGTGTGCCAAGGACGAATCCAAGGTGAATATCCAGTGTATCTGCCAGCAAAACATGTATTATCTGAATTGGTCGTAAAGCAAGCTCATATGAAGACCCTGCATGGGGGAGTTGCCCTGATCATGAGCAAAGTCCGTGAAGAATTCTGGATTCCTAAATTACGAACTTTGGCGAAGAAAGTTCTCAGTTGTTGTTATGGTTGCAAGCGGTTCCATATAGTGCATGAACCAACTCCACCTCAAGGTAATTTACCAAAAGAAAGAACCGAAGGGATGACGCCATTTGAAATCGTTGGTGTAGATTATGCTGGCCCTATTTACTATCGAAACAAGAACAATGAACAGAAATCGTATATCCTTATCTACACCTGTTCCTTAACAAGAGGGCTCCACTTGGAACTTTTACCTGATTTGAGTTGTGAGGAATTCCTGGCAAGTTTCAAGAGGTTTGTAGCGGTTCGCGGTAGACCAAAGAAGATGATTTCAGATAATGGTAAGACCTTTCATGCTGCGGCGAAGTGGATTAAGAAAGCAACCCGAGATGAAAGGTTTCACGCATTTCTGCACGACTATCAAATTCGATGGCAGTTTAATCTGAGTAAAGCAAGTTGGTGGGGAGGTATGTTTGAGAGGATGGTCGCGTTGGTAAAGAATTCGTTGTACAAAGTTGTTGGTTCTGCAAAACTCACCTACAAGGAGTTGCAGGATGTGTTGCTAGATATCCAGATAGCACTCAATAATCGACCATTAACGTATTGCGAAGATGACGTGCAATTACCTGTTCTCACGCCTAACCTGATGATATTGGGTAAAGCCAATTATTTATTGGAACTTCCGAGTGCTGAAATTGAAGATGGTGATATGCGAAAAAGAGCAAAATATTTGAAGAAATGTAAAGAGGCGTTATGGCGGAGATGGCGAAATGAATACATGAGAGCGCTTCGAGAAAGACACGACTTACGACATAACGGGAAAAGCGGAAATTTACGAGAAGGTGATGTGGTACTTATCAAAGGAGAAGGAAAGAATCGAGGAACGTGGAAGATCGGAATCGTGGAAAGATTAATACCGGGGAGAGATGGAATTGTCAGGGCGGTGAGACTTCGTGCCGGCAAAAGTTATCTAGAAAGACCTATTCAGTTTCTTTATCCAATGGAGTTACACAGTGATGAAAGGGACTCGGAACAAAAACCACTGAATCCCGAAGTTGAAGAGTTTAAGCCAAAGCGGAAAGCGGCGGTTGAGGCAACAGTGAATATTCGGCGAATGCAAGAGCTTGAAAATGAAAGTGACTAACATTTATGCATGAGTTATACAAACGACTGGAAGTGACTGGGACAATCTAATAACAGTCAGTAAAACAGTTTATATTCATATTTTTATATTTAGGATGTTTAAAAATAGGGGGAGTGTGTCGTGAATGTTAGTAGCGTCTTAGTTGTTATTAGCAAGGGAACAAGTTAATCGTTAACAAGTTAATTCGTGAGCGAACAAAAACTGACACTTGATTGACATATTAGATAGAGCAAGAGAGAGAGCGTGCGAGCAAGTGAGATTAGAATTAAAATAAAAATATCTTAAACAAAAGCGTGAAAATACTTCTTCAAACCAATTGTGGGAAACAACAAAATTCTCCACAATTGTAGCATTCTAAGTTGATTGTCAGACATATACTGCTTTATATGTTTGTGATTGAAACTAAATTGTGTCAGTTCTTGGAATTATATATTAAAGAACAATAGCAAATCTTTAAAATAGATATTTTCATTGAGGAAGGTTTAAAATGAAACTTCAAACAAAACAGTTCAAACAATAGGTAGGTGCATGAGTGAAAAAAATTTGATTAAATATTGACCATGTTGGATCAGAGTTATTAGTTTCTATTAACTGCGGTTTGGAATAAAAAATGCAACTTTCCTAGAAGGATAAATATTTCTGAGAGGAGACATAAAATGAAAGGGTAAACTTACGATGTTTCAGAGCATGTGATGCAGGGGATATTTCTGATGTTAGATTTCAACATTGATAATGGCGCCTGTTCATCTCTACCATGATGTTCTCCACATTTGAAATAAAATTCCTATGAAAGAACAAGGTTTTAATTTTCATCAACAACCTGGTATGAATTGTTATCACAGTGGAGATGGATGGACGTATTTATTGAGGGTGTGTATTAAACCAGGAAGGGCACTAAAAAGAGAGTGGTCACATCATTGAGAGGTTTATGAAGGATCTCATCACCACCTGATTGTTCAGATTCACCATCTTCATCTTCGTCATCCTGTGTCAGTTTCACTTTCGTCAAACCATCATTCGCATTGTAAGTTGCATCAACTGAGATCTGACCAGATTTCTGAACAGCATGAATGACGCTGTGGTTCATCTCTGCATTCTACAAAAAAACACGGTTTCAGATCTCTGAATGTCAGACTGATTGTCGACTGATAGCAATTTAAAGACTGCTTTCCATTAACTTAACTTTGCAAGCATGGGTGAAACAGCCTTCAGAAAAATCTGCAGATGCAGTTGTGACACGCCTCAAGAAAGAGCAGGCAGCGCCATAGCTCAAAGATTAATTGACCTTTTCCATAATAACGTCAAAGGTGGAAAGTCTGATGTTAGACGAAGTTTCATTGGTTCGATAGTTTCGTGGAGCCAATCAAATTTCGTGTAACATCAGACTTTCAGTGTTTGAGGTCAGTATAAGAAATGTCCATTGTGGGCGTACATTCATATATTTGTTTATGCCCAACTTATTTCTTTTGTAAGCTATTGTTTGTATCATATGTAAACATGAATGAACGAACATACACCCTTCAATTAAGCTGTCTAGCCACGGCACTGAGGCAAAGTTAATGTAATGAAAACCACCTTCAGAAATACAAATATTTTCATGTTCTGAAACTTCACTTTCTGATGCAAGTTTAGAAAGCCAAGCAATTGACAAAACGGTAAAAATTCGTAGATCTTTCACTCAAACTTGCTTTCAAATCACTGGCTACCATAAAAAAGCCAACCAGATTTCTCTCTCATTTGAAAGCCCAGCTGTGTACAGACCATTTATTGTAGTTAACTCTCCAGTATTTGCAAAGAAATTTAAAAAGATTTAACTGATGAGGTTATAGTGCTAAATAATCTCACATCTCACTGAATTATTTTGTAAATACATTGACAATGGTGGTTGGTTCACTTTGAACCATATTCCAAGACACCTCTGAGAATTCTGAGAATCATCTGAAAAATCCTGGAAACTGTCCATGAGTGAGAATTCACGTAAGTTTGGGTCAGATTTTAGTGGAGAAAGATGGCTTTGAAAAATGTCTTAAAATATCATTTTATCAAGATTCAGACACTGTGATATTCTGAGGTGGACTGACTCAAGCAAGACAAGCTGTATCATAATCTATCTCAGATTTACTATAACGAAGATGGTCGCTTTAAACATCAAAATCCCGAACTAAAAAAAACCTCATTTATGAAATCATTTCAACATTTCACAGTAAAGCTTTCGTTATTTCTTTGAAAATTGTTATATAAATCACATTAAAAGCTTGATATTTTCCTAAAAATCACTCACCCCGAGTGTTAATTCATCGGGTAATTCTCGACCGGCAAAAATGATTTTAATTCCAGCAGTTTTGACATTTTTCTTGCGAGCAATTTCGTGTTTTAGTTGAGCGATTGTCCAGGATGGTTGAGAACGAAGGTTAAATGATTTGCCGTTGAAGTTTACGGTCACGTCGTGCGACATATTTCGCTAGAAAAGCTCGTGTATTTCCTTGCAATTGAGAGAAAATAATTCAAAATATTTTGCTTCAAAACGAAAGTTTGGAAAAGAAATGTTTGAAAATTGAGGATTTTGCAAAGGCGCGAAGCGCCTGAAGTAAAGTCTAGATTATATGAGAACACAGAAGTTCGATATAACAATGCTTTATTCCACATCAAAACGTTTACACAGCTGATGGAGGACTAAGTCCTACTACGTATGAAAATTCAAAACGAGGCAAACCTCGCTATCAACAGTTCAAAATCAGCGAGCAAAGCACTGAATAAAAAAGGTTTAATATCGAATTTAACACTATAATGCTCATATAAGGATAATCTTTCCCTGGCAACAGGTGATCCCGAACTCGGAAGCCAATGTCAGAATCAACATTCTAAAGAAAAAACATAAGAAAGATAACGGGTAGGGAGGGTGGGATTGTTATATCTCACTTCTGTGTTCTCATATAATCTAGACTTTACTTCAGGCGCTTCGCGCCTTTGCAAAATCCTCAATTATATTTCGAACACAGAAGTTCGATATAACAATGCTTGTTTAAAGCCAAGACACATCAGCCACAATTCTGTAATACGGTTCTAGCGAAATTGCTATGAAAACGTGGCCGATAGTAAAATCTATTAAATGTAGTTGGGCCTGACCAGTCGGCCATCCTCAGAACTTCGTCTAGTGCGACACCACCTGCTCGGGCCTTTGAAGTGGAAGCAGATCGAGTCGAATGAGCTTTGAAAATGTTCGTGTCAATCCCAGCATTTGCTAAAGCAGATTTTATCCATCGAGCAATAGAGCTGGACTTAATTGGTTTATGAGGCCTATGATAACTAATAAGCAGTTGATTAGGAAGTGACGGTGACCTAGAAGGACGCCATTCATGTTTTCTCTCTTGGTAAGCTCGTAAACAACGGAGAACACAGACTTTCTCATCTTCATCAAATTTGGCAAAGAATACCGATGAGGTTTCAGATGAGGTCTTCGTGAGACCTGGTAACTGGAATTCAACACCCTCTGGGTGAAAGCGCATAAAACGAATGTCCAGTAATTGCAGCTCAGAGGAGCGTTTTGGAGCCGTTAACGCAAGCAACACGGCTAATTTATGTGACAATAGTTTTAAGGATAAATCAGCATTAGATGGTTGTGATCGAAAATAATTTAAAACTACCGATACATCCCAGGCATTCTGATAACGAGGCATTGCTGGACGCAAATTCAGAATTCCCTTCAATAGGCGCACAACTAGTGGATGCTGCCCCACCGCAAAACCACCAATAGGTGGCAAAACGCCAGACAAAGCAGACCTGTAAGTATTTATTGTTCTGTACTCAAAACCTTGATCATACGCCCAAGCGAGGAAACTGGTTATATTTGCCAGAGTGGGGCAAAGTGGATCAATTTTCCGGATGAGACACCAGCTATGCCATTTTTTCCAGGCGGAGTTATAAATTGAATTTGTGCCTGGCCTCCATGCTGCCAAGATGAGCTTGGAAGCGTTTGAAGAAATACCGTCTGATTGTAGGCCCTGCCGGAGACATGCCACGCGGCTAACAGTAAAGTTTCGTTCTCGATTAATGGATGTCTCTCGCCCCGTGGACCCAATAACAGATTCGGAAGTGACGGTAGAAGGACTGGCAAAGCAATTGACATGTCCAACAGCTTGGGATACCAAGACTGAGTTGGCCAAACTGGTGTCACCAAAATCATCTCGCCGCCAGCCTCTGTCAGCTTGGCTAATGAGCGCAAGATCAGGCAAAACGGAGGGAAGGCGTAGTTCCGTCCCCTGGACCAATCTTGTTGCAGAGCATCCGTAGCTAGTGCAAGGGGGTCCGGTTTCCAGCTGAAATACCGAGGAAGTTGGTTGTTTAGTCTGTCGGCAAACAGATCTATGGAGCAAGGCCCCCGAATGTCCATAAGGGCGCAAAACACTTTCGGGTCCAACCTCCAATTGCTCGTATCGGTGAAATGGCGTGACTGCCAGTCCGCCACAGTGTTCAGGCGACCAGCGTAATGCTCCGCACTGAGGAGGAGCTTGTTCTGAAGAGCCCATTCCCACAGGGCTAGGGCGAGATTTGACAGCACTAGAGAGTGAGTTCCCCCTAATCGGTTCACATAAGCGACCGCCGTAGTGTTGTCCATACGGAGCCTCACATGGGCACATAATCGGTTCTTTGTGAAACTTTTCACAGCAAAAGAGCCTGCTAGTAACTCGAGGCAGCTGATATGCAACTTCCTTTCCATTTGGGACCACAAACCCCCCGTTGTCACCCCCTGACATACTGCCCCCCAACCAAGCCTGGAGGCATCGGTTTCGATCACTAGATCTGGGGATGGACGCAGAATGGCTCTGCCATTCCAGGCTTCGAGGTGAACTATCCACCATTGAATTTCTTCTCTGACCTCTCTGGGCAGAGTTACAAGAGAATCGTAATCGCTCCCATTCGTTAGGCCCTGATGTTTGAGACTCTGAAGATGACGGTAATGCAAAGGAGCAGGGAAAACTGCTTGAATCGAGGCTGTTAGCTTGCCAATTAGCCGAGAAATATCCCGTATGGATACTTCCTGTTGCGCTAGTAAATTCGAGCAAAGTGACTTGATTGAATTCACTTTGTCGTGAGGCAAGATAAGAGTCATGTCTAAAGTGTTGACTATAAAGCCCAGAAATTCTAGTTGCGGGGTTGGAGTAAATACAGACTTCTCCAGGTTTATCACAAACCCTAAGTTCTCTAGTAAATACCGAGCGGTGGCCATGTCCTGTTTCAGACCCTCTGTAGTTGAGTTCATGAATAATAGATCGTCTAGGTATATTATCATGCGAATACCCGAGCGACGCAATAGTGCCACAACAGGCTTCATGATTTTTGTGAACAATCTGGGAGCTAGAGCTAGTCCAAACGGGAGGCACGCAAATTCCTGAAGAGACCCTTTCCATATAAATCGGAGGTATTTCCGATGATTTTCCCAAATAGGAATCACAAAATAAGCGTCCTTCAGGTCGATTTTCCCCAGCCAGTCTCCCGGCTGAACTAGATCTCGTAGGAGATGTATACCCTCCATTTTGAAGTGTTTGTATTCGAGAAAAGCATTTAGACCGCGCAAGTTGACTACAGGGCGGGAGGTTCCGTCCCGTTTGGGAACTAAGAACAAGTTGCTTATGAACTGGTCTGAAACTGGAGCCACAAATTTCAGTGCTCCCTTTTCTTGTAAGTTTAAAATTTCGGCGTCGATCTTGGCGAGTCCGCTTGAGAGAATTTCAGGCTTTGTGGTAAACGCTCTTGAAGAGGAGCTTTGAACAACTCGAGTTTGTAACCCGCTACAGCCGATAAAACTTGAGGATCGAGCGTAAGAAGACGCCAGTTTGGTAGAAAATGAGCTAAACGACCGGCTAGAAATTCCGGTTGAGGAATGGCGTGAAAGTCGATCTTTAAACGACTTGAAACTAAAGTTTGAGCGACTGTTATGGGTTTCAAACTCGGCGCTACCAAGGAAATCTGAGGATTTAAACTCAGGTTGTTTGCAATACCTTGACTTATTTTTCTTCCTGTTTGTTTTTCCTGGCCTGTGTGGCTTGGTTGAACCCACGGAAAGCGTTGCGGTAGGGTGTTTTTGCCTGGTTCCAACTTCGGCTGTAGTTCCCGGAACGATTGCCCGGTCGGGCATTGAAGCCCGGGCCTTTCCCGGGCTGCGAACGAAAAAACTTGTTTCGGTTGTCATGGTTACCGCGGCTTACAAGACTATCCATGATTTTTTCATGTTTTAGTTCTTTTAGCATGGATTTTTTGAACTTCTTCCCGAACAAATCGGAAGAACCCATCTCAAACAACTCGGAACTATCGAGTAAATCCAAACACTCGGGTGAAATCTTGACAAGTAAGCCTTTACGGCGGTCTGAAAGACCACAAAAAGACGCATTCCCAACTAGCGAAATGGCTTGGCGTACAAAATCCAAGACCGTAGCTGGATTTAAGCCAGTGGACTCGCTTTCGGCGGCAAGAGCTGTATCCCACAGCCGTGTGAGAGGCCCTATAGGATCGAGGATCCGAGCAGCCAGATTTAATTGCCGTCTGTCCATGATTGGGTTGAAAGAAATACCCTTGCGTTTAAAATATTTTTTGATAAACGAATCGACCTTTTTAGGTCGTAATTCGGCATGAAATGGCACAGGCGATTCTTTTAAGAGGTTTTTACGCTCCGACTTAGTTAGGCCTTCAAATGCAGCCGAAACGGCAAAGTTTAGCACCTGATCGGACACGGTGTATTCATTTTCACTGGTCCAAGAAGACCGATGTGATTTTTCCCGCTCAAACTCGCGAGCGACTGAAGGAGAAACATCCGAATTTTCTGACTCACTCGAAGACGTAGAAGAACTGTTAGAACTGGAAGAGGAGGAGGAATAAACAAATTTCGATCTTCTGGACTTTTTTGAAGATTTCTTTGATTTTTTGGAAGCCTTACGCTTGCCCATTTTTGCCCCATCCGCCGAGCGGTTTTGGGGAGAAGTTTTACTCGGCTGCTCTTCAGCCGGCTGTTTTTCTCGCGATGGAGCTCGCGGGGTTGATTGAGGCTGATCTTCCAAAACCTCAGTGATCGAGCTAGGTATAGATGCACCGTCGGACGCCATAGAATAATCTCAAAGAGTCGTTTTAAATCTCGTTTCAATAAAATTTGTCGGACAACAAAAAGGACACGTCTGCTGTGTAAGCGAGCTGATGAAGAACTGTTGATAGCGAGGTTTGCCTCGTTTTGAATTTTCATACGTAGTAGGACTTAGTCCTCCATCAGCTGTGTAAACGTTTTGATGTGGAATAAAGCATTGTTATATCGAACTTCTGTGTTCGAAATATAATTGAAAGTTTAAAACGACGGTTGCTTCCACTTACCAAAACAAACTTCCTCTTTTTTTCTTGAAATTTCACTCCCTGGCAGTTTTCTGATCTCTTGGAACACTGGAATTTTCAGCGTTTCCTATGTTGATATAATTCCAGAGATTAGGTTAGGATTAGGGTTAAATTTAGGATTAGGTTTAACCCTATTTAACGATAAACCTAAGACCTAATCTTAACCCTAATCGTAACATAATCTCAAATAATAAATAAGTCTGACGGATAGTTTTTTTAACTTATTAACTACCAAAACAAACTTCCTCTTTGCCTTGAAATTTCACTCCCTGACAGTTTACTGATCTCTCGATACACTAGAATGTTTAGCAGTATTATTCCATTTAATCCTTAAGATTAGGTTAGGATTAGGGTTAAAATTAGGATTAAGTTTGACCCTATTAAACTATAACCCAATTCTTAACATAATCCGAAAGATTAAATACGTGTATTTAGGATTTAGGGAACATGGAGTTTTATATTAAAAACTATCGCAGCATCGTCAACACTTTTGAAAGTGTAAATTCGCATTTTAATAGAACAAGTTAAAGCTTTTAGAGTCGACTTTAATTACTGCAAAATAACATTTCTCTAAAATCTACTTAAAATATCAGAAAAATGTTTCATTCTGCTCCAGGTCTCTCAGTCGGATCGCGACATTTTCAAATTCATTTTGGGAAACACCGCAGCAAATTCCAGGAATTCCTGAGTCCTAACCAGTGAACTGGTCCTGACAGGAAACCGAAAGGCTATATAATAATTCCGAAAGGACGCACCTTATGCAAACACTTTATAAGGAAGAGATATTTGTCTTCATAAACTGATCATTTTGGAGAAGATTTCGAGAAAATACAAACACAGACTTCTCCAAGAACGAACATTGTATCTATATTGAGTCTATACAACGAGGTTTATACTACAAAGCGACAAACAACACAGAACTTCCTTTATTATTACGACACAAGAACGACGTGAAATATGGCTTCATATATACAAGGCTACGATGAAGAACGCTTCGAGGCCAAAGTCAGTCAAAATTTCCTCTGTCAGATATGCTTCAATGTCTTGAAAGAGCCTGTCCTGTGTCCGAAGAACCAACATTGTTTTTGCCGTTGTTGTATTACGAAACATCTGGAAAATTCTCAAACATGTCCAACGTGTGCTGATGAACTGACCGTAGAGACTTTGGCGGAACCAAATAGAATGGTAAAAGATCTTATAAATGAGTTAAAAATTCGCTGCGTTTACATCGACAGAGGTTGTCAAGAAGTTGTAGAATTACAGCATCTTGACCGCCATGAAGATACATGTGGATATACACCAGCCGTTTGTACAAACCAAGGCTGTGGTTTAATTGTCAACAAGCGTGATCTTATTCACCATGAAAGTGAAGTCTGTGAATTCCGAAAGTTGAAGTGTCACTCGTGCGGAGAAATGACGAAAACTTTGGCAGATATGGAGGAAAGAATGGCGAAAAATAATCTAACAATTGAAACTAAATTAACAAATTTAGAGAAAAATGTTGCCACTGTCGCGAATAATATGGAGAAAAACACAGCAGATTTAAAAGCAGATATGGAAGGAAAACACGAAGCGGTTAACAACGAAGTCAAAGGATTGAAAACAGCTTTGGTCAGAGCTTTTGATGAAATGAAGGACGTTCTTATCACGATGGAGGGCAAGATAGAAGAAAACACAGGAAAAGTAAGAAATAGACCAAGTGGTGATACGGAAAATATAATTGTTGCTGGAGGTGTAGAAACTAACTCTGTAGAGATGTTTAACTGGCGTCAAAGAACATGGTCGCCATTACAATCAATGCCAAAGAATCGTTGGGGAGCGACTTCATTTATTTATAACAATCATATGACTATAGCTGGGGGGAGCTGTGAGTGGTTTGCAAGTCTTGATGATATGTTTAGAATGAATATTGACCCAAAGCCTGATCTCTCAACACACTGGAGTGACTGTCCTGTTAAACTACCTAATAAGTTGGGATACCACAGCAGTGTTCTGTATAATGATCAGTTGATAGTCTCTGAAGGTGATAATGGAAAGGGTTCATGTGACTTGATCAGATCAGTCCAGCTTGTTCCTCCCTATACTGTGAAGACCTTATCAAGAATGCCAGAACCAAGACAAGGTCACAGCATGGAAATATTTGATGATAATTTGTTGATAGTTGGTGGAACTACAACTAGCCATCTCAAAGACAACCTCAGCAGTGTCGTACTGTGTGATATAAAGAAGAATGAGCTGAAACAGTTGTCACCACTCCCGTATGAAGTGAGTCTAATGGCAACTGTGAGACGGGGAGACAACATTGTTGTTATTGGTGGCGTTGACAAACATGGCAAGACATTAGATACAGTTATAATTTACAATGTCAAGACAGAACAAAGTCACATGCTGCCATCAATGAGATGTAAGAGGAAGCGATGTACTGCAGTTGTTATTGAAAACAACATTGTAGTCCTGGGAGGGGAGAATGAGCGACAAGAGCTAAAGTCAGTTGAAGGTTTCAACTTTGAAAGGTATTCTTGGGAAGAACTTCCAGAAATGTCTGAAGCAAGGTCGTGGCACACTGCTGTTGTTGTGTGAACAATATGTAAAGTATTAAGTGAAAACTGCTAACATATTATGAACAGTTGAAATGAACTATAAGATTTTCACAAAGTTATAGAAATAGATTGCAGCATTCTAAGTTGATTGTCAGACATATATTGATTTGTATTTTTGTGTTTGAATTTAAATTGTGTCAGTTCTTAGGATTATATATTAAAGAACAATAACAAATCTTCAAAATAGATATTTTCATTGAGGAAGGTTTAAAATGAAACACCAAATAAATCATTTGAAATAAGCTTTTCTGCACCCCCTCCACCTAGGTTTTTTCACTCCTTCCCTCCCACAGGTTTTTTCACACCCCCCCCCCACCTAGGTTTTTTCAGCCACATCCTCACCCCTCCCCACCTGGGTTCTTCTGCCCCAGTCCCCCAGACCAAGAATCCTAACTGAGCTTCTGGCTCAAGAAATAGCTCAGTTACCTATTTTAAATATCAGCCTGTCTGTAAATAATGTCTGTGTCTGTCAGACTGCCACAGTCCAAGTCATATTTTAAAATTTAACAATTAACAAGATTTGAAGAGATAGTTTTACTCTTTATTAAAACAAAACCCTGATTAACTAATATAAATTGGTTTGTCAACTAAAATAAAATTCTTGTTTCAAGTTTGCTCACAGATTGTTTTGTAATTTCACGTTTTCCATCGCGTCCTTGAAGGCTTTTAGTACAAGATTTACATTATCTTTTGTACTGTTCAACCCCATCAGACCAACACGCTATATCTGAAAAATTTCACAACAAAAAGTAAGGTTTTTCACAGGGAAAAAAATTTACGATTATGGAGTAAATATCTGCGAATATAAAGAAGAAAATTGTGAATATGGATACCTTTCCAGCAGATCTTCCAAGACCACCTGAAATATCCATTTTATATCTGAAAAAGAAATTGATTATTCAATTTTAACACTCTCCCTGTTTACTGGACCTCCATGAGCCACCCCCCCCGCAAACCTTAAAAATAGCCCTGTTGTCAGGGGGGTAGACATTCCCAAGTTCTGTCACTCAGCAAGTAACGTTAATGGGATGAATACCCCCCTGCCCATATTTAAAATGGGGCTGTTCGCAGGGGGTGATTGCCTCCATTTACAGTACTTGCTGAGTGACGGAACCACTTATGCAAAAAACTATGGAGTTGTTCTTCTGATAGATATTCTGTGCCTACACTTTCTTTTATTTTTATTGTATTTTTATCTTTACTTGAAAGCACGACATGAAATTACCATTTAGACCTAACCCGGGGGGTGACGGGAGTCAATGGCTAATTTCATTACTCATTCTGTTTCGAGAAATGCATTATAGTTTAAAATTTAGTTTAGCCGAATTCATATTAGAGGCGGGAAACTCGTCTTACAAGGTCAAGGAAAACAGGAAACTCGTCTTACAGGGGAAACTCCTCTTGCAAACTCATCTTAGACGGGAAACTCGTCTGATGTGAATCAGGCCACAGACGGGTTTCTCGTCAGAATTTTCCCGCCTAACTTTCCCGTCTAAACAAACGGTTAATTTGAACGGGAATCTCTTCTGGACGAGAAACACGTCTTAAATTCGCATTTAGACGGATAAATCAGACGAGTTTCTGAAATATCAACACGGTCAAGGACGGAACAAGGGTAAAGCCCGCCGCACAAGAGAGCTATCAGCTGAGCTAACGACCTCGCGAGGCAGTTAACTCAGCCTGAAAACTATCCGCACACGATAGAAACTTGCCTCTCGAGGCGGATTCCTCACGAAAAACTATCCGCACACGAGAGTAACTTGCTGAGCTAACAGCCTCGCGAGGTCTTTACCTCAGCTACCAGCTCTCGTGTGAGGCGCGCTTAACTGAGAAAATAAACAAAATTATTATCGTAATAATCACGATACCCTTTTTAGCATTACCCGACCCATTACACGTGTAAATTTTATATCCATTCCAAGTCATATTAAGACGGGTTTTTACAATCAACTTTCCTGTCTAAGATAAATTTCCCGTGCCTAATATGAATTTGGTTGTTAATGTGAGAGAGATGATACCTTCGGCTTCTCCGCTTCCTTGAATATACAATCCATTGTTATATGGTTTGTTGTTGTTTGAATAAGAACGTGATTTTCGTCAAATCTTCGCAGCAAATGGTGTCATGACAGAACTCCCTGGTTTGCAAATTATGTCGACACCATTGTGTGTACGAGAACCTCTGTAAATGATAAATTCACGTTAATTTAATTTTTTGTAAGATTATAAGAATTTATCGATTCGCTGTGTTGCTACAAGGTTACATCTGGTCTTACCTTGGTGTTCCGAAATCACCACAACCCTGACTGTCACATTCACGGATTAAATTTCTACCATTTGACCTGCAAAGCTGACCAAGTTTAAAACATTCAACCGCATTATCTAGAAAAATAAATACAGAAAAATACGATGAAAAATAACGAAGTGATACGTGAGAATTCTATGAACAAAGATATATATCACAATATGTATTCCAGTACCTGCAAAGACTAGGAATATAACAACGATCTTAACAACTCCAAACATCTTTGATCTGCTAAAATTTAATCTTCTAGCTTGAAATGGCTTTTCATCGATATAATGACCGCACTTATACAGGATGTTTAAAAAAACACAACACTTAATATTTATGAATATTTTGATACGCTATACGATCTTTTGTGATCAAAACGAAAGTGAATTTCATAAACACTTTGAAGTTGCGTTTTTCTTATTCACCACAGCTGTAGATCAATCCACAAGATATCCTGAACCATTTGTGTGTTGATGAAAACTCATTTAGATTGGAATATTATTGCATAAAGTATAGGTCACATCTGGGTGCATTGCAAGCTAATGGGTTAACAAGAGACACTGACAGATAGTTTTGTTAACTTATTAACTGACAGTATTCTTCCACTGATGAGTAAAATCATCTGACATTAAACAGAGTAAAATCATCTGACATTAGACAGAGTAAAATACTAAAGTAGGTCACATCTGGGGGCATTGCAAGCTAATCGCTAATAAGAGACACTGACAAATAGTTTTGTTAACTTATTAACTGACAGTACTCTTCCACTGATGAGTAAAATCATCTGACACGATTAGGAAAAATCTAGGTTCATAATGCTGGACCATGCAGTTTGACCCTTTTAACTTAGCATACATAGCTCAGTTTGTTATTCTCCAGTCCCAGTTCTGTCTCTCAGGTCGCGATATTTTTTAATTTATTTGTGGAAAACCGCAGCAAATTCCAGGAATTCCTGACAGCAAATGATGCATTTTATGCAAATACTTTATAAGGAAGAGATATTTGTCTTCATAAACTGATCATTTTGGAGAAGATTTCGAGAAAGTACAAACACAGACTTCTCCAAGAACGAACACTGTATCTATATTCATTCTATACGGCGAGGTTTATACTACAGAGCGACAAACAACTCAGAACTTGCTTTATTATTACGACACAAGAACAACCTGGAAGATATCTAAGACAAACTTGAAGCGGTTAAAAACGAGGTTATCCTAACTGAACCTTTCACACCGTCTACCAATATTATGCTCTGTCTATAAACTATTTGTTATGATTGATTTTTCTTGGTATAAAGTATCATTTTCTCAGAACTCATTTCCTTATAATGAAACAAGAAATTCCTATCAACATAAACACAACTAATTGCTAGTGAGTATTTGAATAGGAGGTGCCCAGGTTTTGTCAGGAGACAATAATAATTATATAATTTTTTATACCACAAATTCCTGTCCACAAAACACTCTTTAAACACTTACGGAAGAGATATTTCTCTGCGCTTCTAAACAGATAATTTTGCCGTAGCGATTTGAGAAAATACAAACACAGACTTCTCCAAGAACGAACACTGTATCTATATTGAGTCTATACCGCGAGGTTTATACTACAGAGCGACAAACAACACAGAACTTGCTTTATTATTACGACACAAGAACGACGTGAAATATGGCTTCATATATACAAGGCTACGATGAAGAAAGGTTTGTAGACAAAATCAATAAAAATTTCCTCTGTCAGATTTGTTTCAACGTCTTGAAAGAGCCGGTTATGTGTTCGAGAAACCAGCATTCTTTTTGCCGTTGTTGTATTACGAAACATCTGGAAAATTCTCAAACATGTCCAACGTGTGCTGATGAACTGACCGTAGAGACTTTGATCGAACCACCGCGAATGGTAAAAGATTTTTTGAATGAATCGAAAATTCGTTGCGTTTACATCGACAGAGGTTGTCAAGAAGTTGTAGAATTACAACATCTTGACCGCCATGAAGATACATGTGGATATACACCAGTCGTTTGTACAAACCAAGGCTGTGGTTTAATTGTCAACAAGCGTGATCTTATTCACCATGAAAGTGAAGTCTGCGAATTCCGAAGGTTGAAGTGTCACTCGTGCGGAGAAATAACCAAAACTTTGGCAGATATCGAGGAAAGAATGGCGAATATCGAGAAGAATATGGTAACAAATAAAACAGTCGAAACTAAAGTAACAAATTTAGAGAAAAATGTTGCCACGGTTGGGAATAATATCGAGAAAAACACGGCAGATATAAAAGCAGATATGGAAGGAAAACACGAAGCGGTTAACAACAAAGTCGATAGATTGAAAACAGCTTTGGTCAGAGCTTTTGATGAAATGAAGGACGTTCTTATCACGATAGAGGGCAAGAAAGAAGAAAACACAAGAAAAGTAAGAAATAGACCAAGTGGTGATAAGGAAAATATAATCGTTGCTGGAGGTCATTGGACTAACACTGTAGAGATTTTTAACTGGCGTCAAAGAACATGGTCGCCATTACAATCAATGCCAAAAAAACGTTATGGAGCCACTTCATTTATTTATAACAATCATATGACTATAGCTGGGGGTTTCTGTGGTTGGCCTGGCATTGTTGATGATATGATTAGAATGAATATTGACCCAAATCCTGATCTCTCAACACACTGGAGTGACTGTCCTGTTAAACTACCTGATAAGTTGAAAAACCACAGCAGTGTGCTGTATAATGATCAGTTGATAGTCTCTGGAGGTGAAAAGAGAAATGGTTCATCTGACTTGATTCAATCAGTCCAGCTTGTTCCTCCCTATACTGTGAAGACCTTATCGAGAATGCCAGAACCAAGACAAGGTCACAGCATGGAAATATTTGATGATAATTTGTTGATAGTTGGTGGAAGAACAACTGGTAATTACAAAGACAGCCTCAGCAGTGTTGTACTGTACGATATAAAGAAGAATGAACTGAAACAGTTGTCACCACTGCCGTATGAAGTAAGTGATATGGCAACTGTGAGATGGGGAGACAACATTGTTGTTATTGGTGGCATTGACAAACATGGAAAGATATTAGATACAGTTATCATTTACAATGTCAAGACAGAACAAAGTCACATGCTGCCATCAATGAGATGTAAGAGGCAGGGATGTACTGCAGTTGTTATTGAAAACAACATTGTAGTCCTGGGAGGGTGTGGTGAGGACGAATACCTGAAGTCAGTTGAAGGTTTCAACTTTGAAAGGTATTCTTGGGAAGAACTTCCAGAAATGTCTGAAGTAAGATGGGAGCACACTGCTGTTGTTGTGTGAACAATATGTAAAGTATTAAGTGAAAACTCCTAACATATTGTGAACAATTGAAATGAACTATAAGATTTTCACAAAGTTATAGAAATAGATTGTAGCATTCTAAGTTGATTGTCAGACATATACTGATTTGTATTTTTGTGATTGAATTTAAATTGAGTCAGTTCTAAGAATTATATATTAAAGAACAATAACAAATCTTTGCAAGGTTTTTTCACACCCCCCCCCCTTAGGTTTTTCAGCTACAACCCACCCCTCCCCACCTGGGTTCTTCTGCCCGGGTCCCCCAGACCAAGAATCCTAACTGAGCCTCTGCCTCAAGAAATAGCTCAGTTACCTATTTTAAATATCAGCCTGTCTGTAAACAATATCTGTGTCTGTCAGACTGCCACAGACCAAGTCATATTTTAAAATTTAACAATTAAGAGGAGTTTTATTAGAAAATCGCGTATTGGGCGCTCAAAACTAAATTAAGATTCAATCGAATGAATCGGGTGGTAACATGGCGGCTGGCTCTTATATCGTGTGAGTACTTTACTGCGTGTTTTCACATAGTCAACTGTTGACTTTCGTTTAATTTTGTTAAATATCGTCAATATACTATTGGAATGATGTGTAAAATGATAAACAAGATGAATTCAACAGTAATTGAAGAGTCAAAAGCAACGCAATGTTACACAGAGGGGTTGGAAGGATTCGACTCTCACAGAAGCATGGAAGGTAGGCGTGCATTTTTGCGGATTTTTCATATTTTACTGCCATCGATAACAATAAATCATACCTTGCAACATTCCTTAGACATTCTAGTTTTAATTTAAGGCATCTTATATAAACTTAACTTGGTTATTTCGGAGTAAATCTTGCTTAAATTTAGAAGCGATTCAAATTTTAAATTTTCACAAAATGCAGTCACTATAATCCGTATTTTGCTCTTATCTTTCAAGCTAAGTGTTCATATTATAATTTATAACGTCTAATGTTTAACTAAGATGTATTTTGTTACAACAATTGCCCTGGTCCCAAAATCTAGGCATGAAATTTATCTAAAAAGTTATTGATATTTTTGTGTAATTGAGTATAAAATGAATACATAAGTCTGTTGTAAAACTGTTGTTCACCACTTGTAAATTACTATAGAAATGTTTCCGATCAACCTAAGGCATATTTCATGATTTGCCCTAGGTATGCTAGTTTACAAAAAGCATCATTTAATTAAAATTAGAGTGGTACGCCGTGGAGCATTTTTCGACTTTTTAAAATGAACCAGATTTGTGTATTCTCAACCTGTATTTTTTGTACAGTCCAGCATTACTATCTGTTTATTGAATATAACGCGAAGCGCCGTATTACAAGCTCTGCAAACATGGCTCTCGACCTATTTTACACTTCTATGATGATTTTAGATGGTTTGAACATGTTTTGTTCCCAAAATCCACAGGTTTTCTATAAGCCATGATTTGGCAAAAATGGAGGGAACCTTCACCTTAAGTTAAATGATTAAATATCAACTGAGAACCATTTCCGATCAACCTAAGGCGTATTTCATGATTTGCCCTAGGTATGCTAGTTTACAAAAACCATCATTTAATTAAAATTGGAGTGGTATGCCGTGGAGCATTTTTCGACTTTTTAAAATGAACCAGATTTGTGTGATATTCTCTACCTGTATTTATTGTACAGTCCAGCATGTATCTTTACAATGTATCTTTCTCCAATTGCCCAATATTTTGACAAATATTATTCACTTAAATATTCTTACAAATGGTAAAATCCTAAAAATTACTGA